TATAACCTGTATTGCTACATGTATGTACTAGTGCTGTGATATGTATGTATAGTACACCTGCATACATTTATATTTAGTTTTCCATTCTAAAAGCAGCAGAACTTACAGTTTTCTATTTGCACATTTTAGTTTATTGGTTCGAGTGTCGATCACAGTGTTTCTATTGTTTTTAAGTAAAAGTAAGATCAAGTTTTCATTTTTGATTGGTCAGACTTATATTCTGAAGTTATAATGCATAGAGAAAGATTATGGTATCTGCAATTGGTTAAATTGTTTATTTAATGTCATAATTAGCCTTCACATTAAAAATTACGAGTATTCAAGTTACCAGTATTTTGTTAATGTATATTGTTCAGCAATAAGCCCAGCTGGCCACAATAGGTCTTCAACTGAATAGATGGGCTTATTTCAGGACAATGAAATATTGATTTCTAAATTGACTTAACTGATTGACTTTATTACTGGAAAATTAGTCATAATTGGTTTGTAATTATAATGAATGGATGGGCTTATTTCAGGACAATTAAATATTGATTTGTTATGTGATTGAATAGATGGGCTTATTACTGGACAATGAAATACTATTGGTTTGTAATTTCACAGTATTTATATCTGTTTAATGTGTTATATGGTGCCTTATTTGAACATGAACCTTTCAAAAACAGTGTACCACTTATATACATCTTCATATGTAATTACTTTAGAAATTCACCATCATGTAAACTGAAAATGTCACGTTTCGAATTGAGAAGGGGTTGGTCGGATTGTAATCGAACGTACTCAGATACTTAAGGAATTAAAGCGGTCAATCTTCTTATATACGGCATTTATACAAGTGTAGTTCTCAGGCTCAGGGTAATTTTGTGCCATTGGTAAAGGAAGAGACAATATCACTATGCCATTAGCAAATTACACAGTTTGTAATTCTAAACTTTCCCTTACCAAAAACTTGTACTAGAATATGCAAACGTTATTTCCAATTTATATCCCAATTAAAACAATTTATACATTTTTATTGACCTATTGCTCTCATTCTGTTAACTACACATTGTCGGGTGTTGGTCTATGGAACTGGAAGGTAGATCAATACATTTTTTGTAATTATGTTGCATCTATTCCAGAAGGTAGATCAATACATTTTTTTGTAATTATGTTGCATTTATTCCAGAAATGATAAGAACACGATGTTGTTCATTGTTTAACTATTTATGAATTTTTTTTCAATATGAATTTCTAGGTTACTGTACTTAAAACATCTTAAATTAACTGTTGAGCTGGAGCAAATGGTGCTTTTAGTAATTCAGGTTTCTTGCCAATTAAATACAAGCTGAGTTAAGTTTAAATTTTCAAGTCTTTGCAACGCGATAAATAGACTTCTAGACACTTGAACAGGATTTATGGAGTACTGTGTAATTATTTCATCATATCTCTGGGGTTTTTTTGTCAAAGTCTCCAGTGACTGAATCAGTATTTCAGATATCAACTCAAAGATACAAATACTAAGAAGGAAAATGAAATGTAGGGTTGTTAACAAAACTGAACAGATATTTCCTTTTATCTTTTATCATAATTGGATAACATTATGTGTGTCATGTAAAACATATAGCTATGTTATAATCAGAAGGATTTCTTAAAAGATGAAATCATTTGAATATGGATGTTTATTAAACTATCACTTGAAAAGAATGAATATTAACGTACAAAAATCTTTTTGCATATTCCATATATTTGTATATATTTCAAAACTGTCACAAACTGATAGGCAAATTTGTTTATTCATGGATCATATTGATATCTAAGTAACACTGGTATGATTGCTATTCAACTTGTGTTGAAAAATGGGAATCAGGAAATATGAAAATGTGTGTATATTATACAGGGACCAATTTTATTTGATATTTCATGTATTGGTTGCTACACATTTATAACTATATTGGAAATCATGATAGATATAATATTGGTAACTTATTTTCTGTCAGTTTTCAAGAATCCATTATTATCATCAGGTTTCTGAAACCATGTTGAAACATTTGTTCCTTTAGTATTTCCATTTTGATTTAAAATATGATTTTTTTTATTTATTGAATTTTTTTAATTAATTCAGAACACTTTTTCTCTTGTTTGCTCAGTTCAATAAGTTGAGAAATTAAAAATACAAGAGAATGCAAATTGTAGACGGTGGAATTGAAAATTAACTTGTTCCTGCAGCATTAGAATATACACATAACACATATCAGGCTTAAGCTTCACATTTATTTACCCTGATTCAGAGATCTGTTACACTTTTTGTGGTGTGTATAATACTTCTTGCACATTCATCATGATCACACTACTATTGTGTTTTGTATGGGTTATCAATAAAACTGTTTTCAGAGATGATTTATCTGATGTTTTGTGGGTTTTCTTTACAAAATAGATCAATGCTTGAAAAATGTATTGCTCGAAAGACATACAGGCTTGAATAAAAAGTAGGAAGAAACATTTTACAAAGACAGATGTTGTGCATGGTAATGGAAGAAAAAAACAATAGATATCAGAAATTGGCTGACATTTTCCTCAATTCAAAATTCAACTGATGAAATTGAGCTAAAATGTGCTACATCTTCTCCATTTGGACAGGAGTTATTGAACAAGAGGGCCACAGGCCTTAACAATCATCTGACTACAAAAACTTTCAGCAGGGAGAAGGGCTATTTTTTCTACTTTGAATTAAATCTTACTAAGAAGCTGTTTTCCACGATGAAGATGGTAGTTTCGGTGAGGTGAAGGTAACTGTTACAAGTGTTACCCATTTTTTGACAGTAAAGTTGGAGCTCAACCCAACTGGTGAAACTTGAGAAGAAGTTTGAAATAGGTGTTGCACAGGAAAATCATGATTGAGTAATCATAGCTTCCCTGGTTGCTGTGTCAAAGTTTTGACAAGGTCGAAAAATAACAACACTTTGTTGGCTACCTTTCCTTAACGTTTCCACCAATTTTTAGCTCAATGGAGTTTAAATATGTTTTTCAAGATGGCTGCCATCTTGGATTTCAGACATACCTGAAAAATAAACACTAAGTTAGGACCATCTCAGGATCATTTCATGCAAATTTGAGCTCAATCCAGTGATGAAACTTTAGAAGTTCAAAATGTCAAAAGTTTACACACATAGGACGATGGACGGATGACAGCACACAGCGCACGACAATGGACGAAGCACAATGGTTATCATGACCCTTCAGGTCAGATGACCTAAAAGTATGAAATCTCTGAGGACACCAGTGGAATCATGTACTATCCAGCTACCTCAAAGTATTGTACAATTACTATTAAGAAAATACCACTTTATATCAATTGGTTATGAATATCTATATTCTTGCCAAATAGCAATTACATTTCTCCTGAGAGCCTTCAGTGTGATGCTAGGAGTTAAAATCTAGCAGGGGTCAAGCTCGGAAAGAGTAACATCTGCATTAATGAAACTTTACCTGTAAAATTACTTCAGACAATAATTTAAATGCACTCAATTCAGTGCAATCAATTTTTAGTACATCCATTTAATAGATTAGTTCCATGATGGAATCACACTTTCACAATAATTGCTATATTACTAACATAAAGAAAGTGTATGTAATAAATGGTGTAAATAAGGGACGAATGCCTTTGTCCGGTTTCACTTGATACCTGGTATTTATTCGAATTTAGACTGAGTCAAAGACTCCTGACAATGGGTCAAGGGTCACTATGGTCATGTACCAATCTATTGTCCTGAACAATAAATTGGGAGATTCGCTTGGCATACAGCCTTGAATGCCGAAACCTCTGTACCAGTGAAAAGACAGTTGTCCACTAAAAACCCAGCCAATGACAAAGAATGAGACAATACCTGGACACATATATACGTATAATGTCACATAGGTAAACTGGACATGCGTACACAACATATATACATGCACAAGTAGTTAAGTAGACAACGCAGAAAACCTGACGTACATTTAATGGCAGCACAGTTTTAATAAAAATTGACCCTATTACATGTACACATAGCCATACTTACACCATATATCAGCACAAAAAAGTTGTGCAATAAGATTACTGTAGAAATATGTACATTCACATCAATATGAAAGTGTATGATATTGTAGCAATTAAGAAAGTTTGCATTACAAAATGAACTTGTAATCAAACATGTTTTTTCTAACCTTGTTTGTTTACAGATCACAGTCAATCTGATAAATTTCAGGGCATGTTCTGCTTTTCACAAATTTTGTGATCCGTGTCAAAGCTGACTGGGAAACACAGGTTTTTGAGAGATGTAGGTTGATAAAGATTACATAGAAATGTTGTATGGTCATCATATCATGATTTCATTAGGAAGTATTCTGTTTATTTGTGTAATATGAAGTTTGATGCCATGTGGTTTCTTCACTGACTCAATTCTCATTTTGAGGATATGGCATTACTTGGATTGAGCTTGCTATTTCAATAGGTATGAACTTCCTAAATACTTTGTCTTCCTGTCCTTATACTTTTTAAAGTCTGGTTTATTATTGCTTTACATATTGTTAACAGCCAAGAATATTATGGACAGGTACTAGTCACACATCAGTGGTTTTTCTCCAGGAACTCTGCCTTTTACTACCATCCAAACCTCTGGCTGTTAAAAGGAAGTAAAGCAACAACAAACCAATCCAACATGTCAGGTTGGGGTGGTTGAGGAAAGCTGGAGTTCCCAGAGAACTTCCCCACATAGATCTTGAACCTGCAGCCCAGAAGTGGAGGGCTAGTAATGAAGATGGTCAGACGCCTTAACCACTGTTGCCCCACCTTTTCAAAGGCCTCCATATATTAAGCACTTCTTTTGTTAATAAATGTTAAGCCCTTGTTTGTTGATCTTGAGCTTGATTTACAATTTTGTTAATACAATATTATTCTGATGTTGTTTTTGAAAGAGATGTCTGAAGGCAGGTTGACAATAAATATATATAACTGACTATAAAAATAACTCAAACAGTTGTCAATCAAAAACATAACTTTTTAATGAAAAGCAGTGATGGCAAAGAAGTCCCCAACAAGAAATATAACGTCCACTTGTAGGAAAAATTGAAGCTTCACTTTATACATCTGCCATGTAATTTCCCCAGTTCTACATAATTATAATATGCAAAAAGATGATATCATTTATGCTAGTACCTCAATTACCTACTATTTAGTGTAATACATCTTGTACTCTGCAGTAGCAGGTACCAGTGTTCGTAAATTAGTCTTATGTTTTGACTTTGTTGTGTCAACATACAGTATAAGTCTGAGAAGTACATGTGGAGCATGTCTGCTATGAACGATTTTGATTCTTAAGTTTGTCAAAATGTTCTTAATTTTGTGCATTTTAAAATAGATGGAAAGATCCATACGTTGTACACATGGTAATATACATCAGATTCAATGAACAAAAATAAGTCATCCAAATTCACACAAATCAACAGCTGGTAAGGGTGATCTCCAGAAATTGTAGCAAGAAAATTCTAACTTTTCAGTTTTGCAGTCTGTTGAATGTCCACATGTATAATCAGAATCCATTTCCTCATTTACAACACCATCACTGTTCGTTTTGTGTTGAACTTCTGAGTACATTTCCTATAATGTAGAAAAAGAAACAGAATTTAATAAAATGTTTGAAATTAGATCATCCACAGGGTATTTTTTCGATAGTCATCTGCTGAAAAAAAAATGATAGCGTGTCAGAATAATTCTTATTACGTTAGTAGTGATGTTGATGGGGAAATATTTCACCTGTCAAAATCCTAAATGATCTGTTGAGTGTTTCACAAGATATCTTATACACAATCTGTTATGTACGAACAGTCACTAAATCAAGACACGCTCACCGGTCCTTTGGGCGTGGTGTGCTAAAACCACAAAGATAGATACCATGGTCATCTCAAATATTCAATTTAACTCAAAACACATGGTGTGTGCGATTAAGACACTAACAGATTATAATTGTAAAATTTCCATATCTTTTAATTGATTTTATATTACAATGTGGTTGCTGCTAACCATCTTGAATATCCTTCGTTTCTTAGCTTCCATATCAACAATAATGTCATCATCAGCCACGTTCTGCGTTTGATGTTTTCGTTTTTTCGTATGTTGGTGTTTTAAAATCAAAACCGACAAAGAATCCTCAAAAATGTTATTTTCTCCTATTCGTGGAATTTTGCAATACGGCTCATCTTCTGACCCGTATGACTGGATCTTGTGTTTCATTTTGAAGCAATGACACAACCGATAGTCCACGTACGATATCGTAAATCAACAAAGCAAATTATCCATTTTAAACGCAAGGCGGGCTCTCAATATTTTCTATCTATCGCGGGGACGCTTCTGTACATATTATACGTAGTTCAAGCTTTTTCGGAACTACGATGTGATATTCAATAAATAATATCCTGACTATTTGTAGACTTTATTTTCCGGATCATCCTATTAACAGCAACATTAATAAACTAATAAATCCAGATTTAACCGTTCTCCTGACCCGACACTCTGCTTTGACGCATTCTTTTAGCATACTGCGACATTTTATCTTATCTAAACTATATTAGTTCAGATTTATGCCGGATTTTTTCACATGTCGTAAAAAAAATCGATTCTGAAGTTTTTAGTTACTGTTTGTTTCTTTTTAAGACCATGATTTGGTCAAACAAAAGAGAAGAATTAAGTAATTAAATAAATTAAATATTCGTTTTATATCTATTCAAATAAATACTTGATTTGTTTGGGAAAAATGATTTGTGTCCAGTAGAGATCGTTATTTATTTCCATTCATCCGCTAGGATTCGATCCTAGCTGGCTCCCTAGTCTAACGCCGAAAAGAAGGCCTCTCCAACCAAGCGGTAGACTCCTTCCAGGAAAGAAGTCTGAGACTCGTAGTCTGTCGTCCGAAGGTACGACATTGCAGCTACCAAGAGATAAAACTTGTAAACCGCTATGTATAACATCTGTTCCACAACTTAGGTTGTGAACATGCCACAGTAAATTTTTGTTCGGTGCTGAGAAATTAGATTACGCGAGATTAACATGAATTCAAGGATTTCGGGGAAAATTAATTATCGCCATCATGTCTAGCGAGAATTGATTAGTCAGCATTTCTTCCGGATATTATATACACGTTGGTACATTGTAAATATATTCATATAAGTATCACAATCAGTTACAGATCTATATATTTTCAAAGTGGTTGTGATTTACGGAAATCTATATACTTTCATTCTTTTGCTTTGGTGATCACTAATGATATTTCCTCATCACGTCCTCTCTTTTGGGGATATAAGTTTTTTTTATATTTTTATCTATGATCTCGGGGCTTGTGTTTCACAGGAAGCTAAAAATCCAACAGGTGTGTGATGTCGACGTTGTGTCCTTCGGCAAGACATTTTCCCCAAAGATCATTGGATGTCATCAAGCGGTGACGGGTCTCTCGTATAATGTTCAGTGAGGTAGTCACCAGCCAATACAAGGACAAATAAGTTTAAACATGATTGGCAATAAGAAACAGAATCTATATTTTTAAATTGCAAATATGCATCACATACATGACAAGATAAGGTTTGTTTTACAAAGTACAAAATACGTCATGTGATATACAGGGGATTTTTTTTATCGATATCATGGAAATTCTGCCTAAACATGTCATTTACTGGGTAAGAAAAGTGTGATAACCAGTGCCAGGCCCATATGACTCATGTCATATCTACAACGTATATAGCATGTCTATGTGTACAGTTTGCGGTATTCCATAAGTTCAAATTGATATTTCATTCAGCACTTCATATTCAAGGAATCGGGCGATACATTATACAAGTATTTCCCCTCTAGTTACAGACATTTTTAACAGTATAGCAAATCATAGCCACTTGAGACTCGTCAGGAAATTAATCATTTACAACCGGATCAAGCTTTCATAATTCAAACGCCACCTGCAATCCTCACGTATGTTTGCATGTATATATCATATGCCACTGACCGATCAATTGAAATGTTTTTTCTTTATTCTTGTCTAATTTGTACCCTATTATAGAAACATCGATTCTTAATGACGATTTCTTTTTATAAAAACGTATCAGGATCGAGCATTTTGATTCCTGATTATAGTATTTGTGAATATCGATTGTATTTCGGAATACGGCTAGAGTTAGGTCTGCTCGCGCTAGACTATCGATTCTTTTGTTGTTTTATATCCAATCTTTGATATTTCGTCGTTGGTGAACCAACCATTGGACATGCATGCACACTGCACTTGTAATGATGCGATACAAAACACCCGAGGACAATGACTAAATACATAGTGCGGTAAATTTCGATTTACAGTAAAATTATATGATTTAAAGAAGGTTATCAACATCAAGATGATCATGATGATGATAATGATTGGAAGTTCTGAATTTTCATGATGTTCTTTTCAATGGTCGGAAATATTATGACTAGATTCTCCGCCTATTCTTATGCAAATGAATGGAAATTTAACTTATATCTATGTTTCGTGTTTAATTGTTGTGTTACATCCAGAAAAAAAAATTAAAAACCTTAAATTGTTGACTTTTCTACAGCTTCCTGTGATCTTCGTCCCAAGTCCCGTACACTCCCCATCTTTCTAAATGTAATTATTCACATGTTAAACGTTCAAAACTTCTATTACACTTTACTGTGTAATATACAAAGCAAGTCTTGTGCGTATGCCATTTTAACAAATATCAAACCTTTTTACATCCGATTAAAACGAGATTCCCTTAAACCACGGACTTAAATATAGACAATATACAAGTCCGTGCTTAAACCATCCACATCTCTTCAGATATATTGGTACTAGTCAATACATGCCCGTGTCACTTTTTTTTCATTATGAAAATTGGTACATACGAGTACCTATTTCCGCCGTGTACCACATCGCGACTGAAGTCTGATCTATCCAAAATTACTTTTCGTAACGCTTCTGTCTGTCCATGCCTTGCTCGCCATACCTTCTAAGAAAATGTCGATAATAACTGTCAGATATCAGTGTAAAGAAGCAAAGAACTTAAATTAAACATCTGATAATAATTTGATTCGATTGGACTCATAGTTGGTCAGTAGTATATTGTGGTGAAATGTTATCAATCTTGTTCAAATGAATGACCTTGGCCAAGTTCCAATGCCGATCACAGTGGTAAACTGTGATTTCAAACGAGTTCTTATCAATAACCAAAAGACCCTACAGGTATATCTTATTGGGATGAAGTTTAACCCATCTTCGACATCATAGTTAGCTTAAAGTATTTTGACATTTGATAAGAGACATGCTTTGATAAATAGTTTTAATTGTAGGTTTGTTAAGATACATGGACTGAAAGTAATTATACACACTTTTTTTTTTAACTAATTCGCAATAAATTTACTGTGGAATCGATAGCATCAGTGTTTACTTTTCTAGTTCCTACATATTTATCGCCTCATAAGTTGTAAAACATTCATGCGAGCACTAGTCTAGATACATGTCCATCGTACAAAATTATTTTGAATTATTATATCTTTGTGTATTGTTCCATACTTTTCGATACGTTTATCATTAGACTTTGCCCTTTACATGTACAAATGGATAAGTATAGTTATTTTTTGTCACAACACATTTTCAGAACAGACTATATTTTATTGCAGGCGAAAGGGAACGATGAAATATAGAACAAGCTATAGAAGAAAACTTTGTACGCATGCGTACAAACTTCTTCGCCATGTTTCCTCGATCATAACATTGCCATCCTGAAGAAACTTTTTATTTAATTTTGAGGATGTCTTAACTGCAACTGTCTCTACCAATTCGTAATTCCAAATGAATTTACCACGAACGGACCAGTCATGGCGTGTTTAGAAAATCTGAAACAGGACATACGGATCCTGGAGAGCACTTTCCCCAGACAAAACGAACGGTTTCAGATTCTGACAGTCTCAGTTGACGAGATATCGTGTCGATTTATCGACAGAAATGGTGACAAACACCGTATTCATGGCAATATCACGGTGAGAGCGGTTGTTTGTTTTAGACACAATTATATGTTACTATGAACATAGCAGTGACTAGTTGTGTGGGATTCAGAGCAGCTGGTTGTTGCTCTCCATTTATCCAGATCTTTGTTCCTAACCAAACAATGCAAGGGATGTCGTCTGGGTCATTATGATGACAATGATATAAGTTCATAGCGTAAAAAGCGATTATCTGACTTAATACTATATATATTTATACCGTTTTAACGAAAAGCCCATAAAAAACTGTTTTAACATTTGAAAAAACACGCCAGTTATTTCTCATTTGAACTGTCAGACGGAAGTGGTACGATGAAATCATACTTTTCCGGTATATATAAACTTGTATTTGGGTTGTCTTGCTGACACTCTTTTTCAGTACATTTATTATTATTATTAAAAGGACAAGGACTTCGAACCACGTTCACTCTTCTAACTAAATTCTAATCACAATACTGTGCATTTGGTTGCATAATTATCCTGATTATTGAATTATTTCATGTGGAAGTTGTTGAACGTGTTATTTTTGTAACAGGATATGGTCAGTGTGGCCTGTCGTGATCATTAGTGTTAACATACAGTTTCTGTCTCTCAGTCAGAGACATTGGTTCAGTTTCTGCTTAGGTACTACATGAAAGGTATTGGTAGTCAACAAAAACTCCTGGGTTAATTGTGGTGTTGGAGAGTCTCCCATTCAAAATTAGTCAGTCTCATAAATAAAAAAAGAGATGGGGTTGGGGTTGCTAGAGTAGTGTGATTATCAGACCATACAGTATATAGCCCAGTAAAATTATTTATAATATATTGTTTAATTTCTGTTTCAGGAGACATATCCACAGATGGCTCCAATGTGGTACATAGATGATGATGACAGTTATATCAGTGCTGCAATCCAAGAACTGGAAAGGGCCCCACCTACAAAAAATAATGTAATTGAAATGTTACATCTAATGAAATAAGTCATAAGCTTTAATAGACTATACACTATCGTAAAACTTTTGAAAAATATGTAAATGAAGACAACAGAAATTTGAGTTTCCTCAAGATCTATTTATTTGTATGTACATGACATCTTTAACTTTTTCAGAGTAATAACAGTCTCAATTTGCTTGCCAATGTATTACATTGTAAGCAATTTGCTTTTTTTTTTTTTTAACATTACTGGGAAAAGTCTTAACATATTTTATCCATGCTCCCTCAAATGCTTGCAAACCGTGCATCATATCAACCAAACGACTAGATCGATAGAAGGAATTTCATACGAGGAAGTGAAATTATTCATTAGTGTTTGAATAATATATAAAAATACGAAAGTAAAACTAACTAAAAAGAAATCTAAATGGAACCCTGGTAAATACTAGCTGCAATATAGCTTGATATGTTGAGCATCAGACTAGTAAACCAGAGGTCCCAGGTTTAAATCCTAGCAGGGGCATTGAAATGAAAACGACCTCTGTTACATATACACCTCTGGTTAAGATTTTATTTCCTTATGGCCATCTGTTTTGTAAACAATTCTTGTTATCGCTATTTCATGATTCTTAAGAAGAGCTCACTGGCTCTTTTTCTAAATTGCATGCATAGGTGCCCCATGGTCCCTATTTGCTAACTCTGTGTTGCTTTTGACTTGTACTGACCAAACTTGTCTACCAGGTATATGTTTTTTATTTACTTTTGATAGCATTCTCAAACAAGTTGGGGGAGTGTAAAAAGACGACACCTTGTCTGTTTGTCCATCTGTTCTGAACCTTATAAGTGCAACTCCTCCTACACTTGTTTAATGGAATTTTGTTGAAACTCAGCTCTTGATAGTACAAGAAAGTCAAACGGCATCACAGACTAATATTCAACATATGTTATACTTCTGTATACTTGACCATTCCTTAATCAATATGCAGTACTCCAGAAAACGGTATCAAAAGCAAGAAGACATTATTAATTTTGTCAAAACATCATCTTTTGTACTAAATTGCATCTCAACTTCCAAGGGTCAAAATTGAAGTCATTCTTACTCTAAATAGATATTCAACATCCTTACTCTACCAGCTGCATTAATTAACTGGTCCAGAAACTTTTTACACATAGCAGATACTCAAAGCCATCATCTCTGTTTAGAAGTCTCAACCTTCTGGAGTTAAAATATTTTAGCGCCTCCTGATGAGGCTGTAGAAGGAAAAGTATTATTTAAAAAGGTATTCAGTTGGATATGGTGGTTAATGATGTCTATCAAAATGTTATATGGTATTGATTAGTTTCTGGAGTGAGGGATTCATATCATCTACGATGCTGCCTTGTGTTGCTAATAATGCTAATTGGTCCAGGTTATTTTTCATTTTACTACTTGAAATTTTTCTCACAGATACTGCAACAAGTGAAGATGTTAGTAACGACACTTTGTCGCTTGAATGAAGTCCCTGTACCCGAGGCTATGTCCCATATAGACCATGCACTAACAGAAAGGGTATGTGTACCTCAATTTTAATGAATGTGCTTCCATTAATGATGTAAGCTGAATCAGATTGAGTCATTTAATGTTCTCTTATATTTCTATTTCATTTTAATTCATCCGAATTTCATTTGAACTTGATTCAGTACATTAAATTTGCAACCAAATCGTAACAGATGTGATAGTTTGCCTGTTGTCAAATACAAAATTTTATCATTGCTGGTTGATATGACTGAAAATATACCAAGTACATCAATTATTTTATTGTAATATAGTAAAATTATTTGGGTTAGAAATTAGTCTGTTTATGGAATTGAGAAAATACACATGAATTTTGCAGGGCATGGAAATTTCTGATGAAGATGAGGATGACGAAGATGAAGAACAGGAAGTAGAAGACGACGATGGAGAAGAGGAAGTTTGTCATGATGATATGGAAGAGGATCCTCAAAAGTAATTTTTCTAACTTGGGATGTAACAAATATCAAACTTTAGTTTGAAGTAAATTATATGTAGTCTTGAAATTTGAGTTCTGTTCATTTAGTGGATAGCAGAAACTCGACCAAAATTTATAAATATAAAATATTTAAGGAGTTTGTTTATATTTACTGAAAAAAAATTATTATTGTATGTAGGATTTAATGATTATTTGATCATGTCTCAGCTGTTTCGAAGCAAAGTTGACCTTAAGATAAAACAAAGAAGGGAAAAAAAGTAAATTTTGAAAAATTGGTATTCAAAACTATTTAATACTTCATATTCTCAAATATGATTAAAAATTTCATCTATTAAATGGCAAACATAAAAAAACTATACATGATAAATAATCATACTTTTTAATTTGTGGTGGGATTGTTTTGTGTATGAATTTAAATTTCTGAGTATTAATTGAAATTTCTAGAAAAAAGTCTTGAAAATACTGCATTCTGGAATATCAGCTCACTTCTTTGTTACGATAGTGATCAGAGAATGAAAGAGGAGGTAGCCGGTATTGATACAGACAATTTAATGGTATTAGAACGACTTAGACAGAATCAAAGGCAAGATTATCTCAAGGTAAGTGATATATAAGTCTATTTCTCACACTAACCATACAGGATTGGAAAAAGAAAAAAAAAGGGAACTGCCTTCATTTTTAAAAGAGAATATTGTTCAAAATGTCCATTTGGCATTCAAAATAAAAGAGACGTGAAAATATGTATTGAACCAATAAAAGTGATTGATTTTGATTTTTTTTTTCTTTTCTTTTTCTCCCGTCAGGGTTCCGTGTCAGGATCAGTGCAAGCCACAGATCGTCTAATGAAAGAACTGAGAGATATTTACCGCTCAGACAGTTTTAAAAAAGGTAAAAGACAAATTAAGGTTTCTCCACTGATTACTGTGGTGCTTTTTTAGGAAGAGTGACTCACATTTGCTGCAGATAGTCAATAAATATTCAAGGAAAACTGTTACTTGAAATAGCAGATATTACACAGGAAGAAATCTTGCCTTCATTATGCTGATGAAATAGATAGTTGTTTCTGTAAGAGATGCAATCCTTTTTCAATTTCAATATTAGATCAGAGGACCTTTAATAGATAGAGAAAGCTAACAATCAATTTCACATTATTTAGTGACATCCCAGAAAATTTATTACACAAGGGAAAGATTTTTAGCTCACCTGGCCCAAAGGGCTGGAAGGTTCCTTTGATGAAGCCCAACAATGTTTGCAAAAAGAAATGACTTCGACCCATATTCAAGGTCACAGAGGTCAAATGTGTTAAAACCTTTAAACATCTTCTTCCAAAATACCGGAATGCATAGAATCATTATATATGGCTGGAAGGTTCCTTGGATGAAGCCCAACAATGTTTGCAAAAAGAAATGACATTAACCCATTGTCGAAGTTCACAGGGGTCAAATGTGTTAAACGTGGAACATATCCACAGATAGAGTACTGTTGGTCATAAAGATCCAGGTGAGCAATACAGGCCCTCTGAGCCTCTTGTTTTAAAAGTACTCATAATTTGGTTGAAATTTACTTCGGATGTAAAACGGCATCATATTTTTTTTCATTTGTTTATTATTCAGTTCATTAACAATTCTTGTTTTTGTTAATGGGTTCTTCTGTCACCTGCTTTGAAATTTTATTTCTCAGTGTCGAATATTTTTTTCTCAGAAACTCCATCTGTTTTATTTCCCTAAATTAAAAGGACGAAAATTGATAGTCAGAGTGATGAAGTTGAATGAGTATTGTTTGAACTGACTGTTTGGGGTTTTATTAGTCAATACCAATACCCATTTGAATACAAGGAAAATTAGAGAGATTATTGGTTTCCTTCAACTCTGCCTGTTTGTCAGGTATCTTCTTACCAGTCTCACCTGATGTTATAAAAAGTTCTTTCCGTTCTGACAGAGTTATAAACCCCTGAAGTTAGGAATAGTTTTAAAATTTGGCTACAAAATTATTTAGATTTTTCATGTCTAATTATAGATAATATGCTTAAATTTTTTATCTTACATGATCATAGATCAGATTGATGTATACTTCATTATGGTTCATGTAGGCAAAGTGACGGCCCATTTCCTTCCTCCTTTGGTCATGCTAATTTGTGTGGCCCTATAGGAATGTATTCCTGATTGAGGTTTTAATATATTGGTAACATAATTCTTAGTATTGTTACATCAAAATCTGCTGCTATAAAGAAAATCATTCTTTTCATCTCTTTACAATATTACCAATGCACGACATCTACACCCTGATAAATGATAATGATAACCTGTGGTGGTTTCAGTGTTTTATTTAATGTGGTAATAATTTTTATTTCTTTTTCAGGAATCTACACAGTAGATCTAGTCAATGATTCACTTTATGAGTGGAGTATTAAATTAAAAAAGTAAGTAGATTTATGTGTCTGTAAAGCTTATAATTGCTCTTTCACTTGGCTTTACAAAGCTGCGGCAGATTCCAAAGGCATTCATATAACTTTAACGCCTTAAAATACTTTTTATCCTTCAGTAACCTAAGATCTCTTGTCAAATGAATGAAAAACCATGATAAAACAAGCAATTATAGTCATATCTGTTAAAAAAGAATCATAATGGTGTTGTGGGAAATATGTTTTTAATATTTTAACCACATTTGAAATTTCTTTAACTCTGTGTCTTTGATTATTTGTTAGGGTGGATCCAGATAGTTCGTTGTACACTGATCTTCAAACTTTCAAGGAAAAGGAAGGCAGGGACCATATTCTTCTTAATTTTACTTTTAAGGTATGTACTGTTACTTACAACTTAAAACTCCGTCAACAGGTTCTGTAGGTTGCACTTGGATTCCTTGAATTTGTTCACGTCATGTCATCTGACACACAATATGTTGGTTACTTCTTTATATAGGTTTACATGGAAAAAACTAGTACATCATTTATCTGTATTAATATATTACAAACGTTTCACAAAAAATAAATGGTAATTACTAGCAATGATTGTCAGTGGTATTTTATAGTAATTGTCTTCTGTTTTTATCTTTCTCTGCAATGCTGATTACTGTTTCATGTTTAGATGTAAAATTTTGGAATCTGATACTTAAAACTTCAGAAGGCAATATGTCACATACTGGAATGAGGTCACTCTGTAAACACTGAAATACAGATGTTAGGAGTGATATCTCAGTCACTTTCATGTATGGATGTCAAACTTTGGATTCCAAAATAGGTGAAACATCAGAAGACAATATGTTGTGCAGTAAAATGTGGTCACTGCAACTTCTTGACCTTTGACCATAAATACTAAAATATAGATTTTTCAGTGCAAATCTCGGTTAGTGTTTATTGTAAGACATCAAGCTTGAGAAATGGGTTTAACATGAGAATGCATTGTTTTGGTACTGATGTAGAGTCGTGGAGTCTTGACCTTTGACCTTGACCCTAATGGCTTATATACAGTCTTATACAGGTTTCAAGAATATACTCTTGGCCACTGTTTCATGTATGGACTTTACTTTAAGTGATTAGCAACACCTGTGGAAAGCAGTGTTTATAGAGGAACACATAATATGTTACATGTATTTTGGGTGAAATGTATTCTTGCATTGAATTCCATGCTTCAATTTAATCTTAGAATAGTTAATAATATCAATTATCTGGTATGAAGCAAGTCTGTAAGCTACATCCATTCATTGTCTTCTGTGTTTGGATTATCCAAGTTAAGATAAAGATATATCAGCTTTCAATGGTAAGGATTGTAAGACTTTGATTTCTAGTGTGGCATAAAGGAAATCTATTTGTGGGGAAAATTTGCCAAGCTTTTTTCCCACTCGGAGAAAACTTTTTTTTTTTAATTGGTTTATTTAGTCTTTAATTTGCCCTGAAATACCTGACGGATACATACCATCTTCAACATGAAACTTGGCCTACCTTTATTTTCGCCCTGTTAGCAAAAGGGCAAAAAGTCTACCCATATACCTTTTCTGGCAGCATTACATATATGTAGAATGGTTGAATATTTTACAGGACAACTACCCTTCAGAGCCACCGTTTGTGCGTGTGATAACTCCTGTGTTACAAGGAGGCTATGTTTTAGGAGGGGGCGCTATTTGTATGGAGCTTCTTACACGACAGGTAAGCAAATATACCTCTAGGCTACCTATGTTCAAATGTTGAAAAATATTAATTGATGCATGATTGAAATGTAATAATTTGAATATGTACAATTTAATTTGCATGTATCTCCGTCATAAGTGTTAGAGTAAATTTTTATAAAATATTCAAGTGTTGTATTTAAGAAATGAAATTGACAAACACTTTAAGATGAAATGTGTTTTAAGGACAAATCTGAAACCGTACATCAAGTCTTGCTTTTTTTGATAGCCTACCATCATCAGATGGTAAGCTGATAAAAAATAAAACTGCATCACTACTTAGTCTTTTCCTCTACCTGCTCAAATTTGTATTGGTTGCTAATGAAAGGATCATGAATCTATCCACAAATTCCATAAAGGATCAAATTGTTTATACTATGTTTGATCTTATTTTGAGATTCAAGATGGATACAAACAAAAAGAGTATGATATTTGAAGTCATCGCAGCCATTTTATTAAGTACTATAATATATAATAGTTCTCGTGGAATGTTACTTTTGATATATTTACTTCAGATATAACTTAACATATAATCAATGACGATGATTGTTTGGGGAAACCAAGATCCAACCATTATCTATTTAAAAGTGAAATGCTGTCACTACTGAAGTGATTCAATAGAGCATACATGTACATCAATCTCATTATTAACCTGTAGTAGGGGTCAATTTCTAGTGGTGTGATAATTGTTATAATTTTAAAATGTCAAAATGTAATTTATACCTTCAGGGATGGAGCATAGTATACAGTATGGAGTCTGTTATCATGCAGATCGCAGCAACTCTTGTTAAAGGGAAAGCTCGAATCCAATTTTCTGCATCAAAGGTAAAACAAGAATGTAAAGCTGAAGATTTTATTGCTTTACTGTGAATGTACTATTTGTGTAGTGCTAACCTTGTATCATTCAGTGCTGGATTTGTTTAAAACCATTATGACTTCACTAATTTCGGTCCAGTATGTTGTGGGTATGTGTACAGTAGTTCTATTAATGTTTATCTGTTGAATAATGAGAGCTTGTATTGTTATAAAATTTAAGTTTTAAAGGTTGACAATATGAATTATGCTCTCTTTTTTTTGAGGATAAAATTCAATTATGTGAGATAATACCTTGAAAATTAAATTATTATAATCAAATTACAACCATTTCATGATTTCCATGTAAAATAAAAAAAAAAAGAGTTTTTGCTTTAAACACTTAATACGATAAGGTCATAAATATTTGTACCAAAAAAGCAACAGTATTAGTCATATGCCAAGACATGTCTGGTATTTATGGGCAATATACATTTATAGTGTAGATAATATCTAAGTTGCAGGTCTAAATACATAGGAAATTTTTGCACTTATCTCCACATTTAGAAAAAACTGAAATGTGTGTTTCTTTTCAGAATCAGTACAGTTTAGCTAGAGCCCAACAGTCTTTCAAATCTTTAGTGAAGATTCATGAAAAAAATGGTGAGTGTTAGTTAAGAACAGCTTCATACTGTATTGCTTGTGTGCCTTACCATATTTTATCAAGATTTTTCCTGTGTTTTCATGGGATAAGAGTTTGTTAAATACTGCTCAATATATACTCAATGTTACTAAATTAAGAACTTCAGGACCATGTGGACACCATGTTTCTAAACTTAGAGCTTCAAGATCATATGGACACCTTGGATATGATCTATTTTTTCTGTGAGGATAATTTGCTATATTTTTTACTCAGGCATTTAAAGGTTTTAGAATTTTGTACTCATTTCAGAAAATAAATACATTTGTTATTAACATATTTGTTGGAATATTTTTCTAAATTTATACAAGGCAAGCACATTACTTGTAAATGTGTGATAAAGAAATTAAAAACCTTTGATTTAAGTTAATATGTTGTTATAGAAAAATATGGACCTTTGGGTTTTAACCATTGGTCAGTATTTTTCTTCTGGATTGATACAACACCATATTGACCCACATCCGTAATTGAGAAGTGTCTTATAAATCATACTTTAGCTTTAAAAAAGAAAAAATGTCAACAGAGATACAAACCATTATTTAAAGGAAGATATTCAAATGTTGTGTTGATTTATTTCAGTATTTTAAACCTGATTTTTTACTTTAACTCATCTTTTTTAAAAAAAAAAGTGTGCTCAATTATATGTAGTTAATTCTTACAGATTCAAATAAGGAAAACAAGAGATTGTTATGATATTTGTTATTAATGTTTCATTAAGTAATATTGCTCAAAACTGATATATTCTGTTTATTGTAAAGTTGTTTCATGCCATCTGCACATTTTATACAAAATTAGGAACAAGCTGTCTTGTAATTTTAAGCATTGAGTTATGAATTTCTTAACATGATATTTCCATCAAACGTATTATTAGTTTTTGATGAATTTGTTTGACTGGTCAGTACTTGTATTAATAATGATGTCTTGAAGGCAATATTATCGTTTGAATGGTATCTTTTGTAAGAACTAGTCATGTCTTCTAGTTTAGTTTTTTTTTGTTAGCACCTCTTGACTTTGATTTAACAGTGTTTTCACTTGCTTTTTCAGGATGGTTCACTCCCCCAAAAGAAGATGGCTAGAACTATTGGTTGATGGCTGATTTTTCTTCTTTTTTTTTCTGTGACATTTAATTCATCATCATGCTGAGACTGTCTAAAAGGAAAATCACCTATGTTGCCTACTTTGCAGTACACTGTGTTCTTGTACTGATAAACATTCTAGAATGCATTTCACAGAGAAATGAATATCCTATACGCAGCACCATTCAGCTATCTTCTTGTCAGCAGAATGTGTTTGACGGACGCACATAGTCCTCTGTGAGCCAATTGCAACAGTTTTTAATGAAGACGCTTTGCACTGATAAAGACAGAATATTGTATGCCAGACCCTGAATCCTCAAAACAATCTCAGATTGTTTCTTCCTCATGTTATAAAGCCTATATTTATTGATCTGTAGTTAGTTTCACCTAGAATTTTCGACCATGTCTTATCAACAGGAATGCTTTTGTATGGTTTGCTTTAATTGTCATATCTGTAGCATATCACAAAAATAATATGCTGAACTGTTGGCACCAGTCACCTCTAGATTAAAAAATTATGATTTTAAAATGTAAAACGTTTTGTTATCCATATGATTGTCTCCCTTTTTAGAAAAAATTACAGTAAATGATAATTTTTGAAAATTGCTTTTCCCCATTTGAAACAGATTATATTCATGATTACAAAAACCTGAACATTTGACCATGGTATTGATTCATGTCCTTCATTCTTTTCTGTCTTTCTGCCACTTCTTCTTTGTTCTTGTGATGTGCTTCGCAAGGTATTTGTTTGAAAGATTGGAGGACTGCATTAGAGGATTATCAGATAGTTTGTGAGGAAGACTGGAATGATGTAGGCACGAATGAGTGATTTTATTGTGAATGGTTATTGTGTGTTTTGGGAGATTGTGAGTGTGAAAGCATATAATGTGTAACTTGAGTTTTTTTGTATGTTAAGTAACTGTACATGTAAAATATGTCTTGCCAGACAGGTCATATTGTTGTTGCAGACATTTCCAGGTTAAAGTTTTTAGGATGGAATTCTAGTCCTGAAGTGTAGTTCATCTTCATTTTAATGGATATTGTATCCATAACACAAGTTTTTTTTTCAGTAGTTTCAGCCCATCCCTTTATTTCTTCTTTTCTTGTATGAAATAACAAAACAAAAAAAAAACTCAAACAAAGCTATAGAAAAGTGAAATTTGGCTCTTGGTGCAGTAAATCCCTTAGTTGTACACTGGATTAGATTGCCTGTTTTGTGATATGAAAATAAAACTGTAAGAAGTTGTTGCAGAACACAGAGAAAGCCTGTGGTTGTTAATGTAGATAGCAAACATATAGAAAATGTCCTTAATTATTAAGATTTAACAATTCATTTACATCTTCTATTCATGTATCAAAGTGTTGACTGCCAGAAGTCGGAATATCTTCATTTCTTTACTGTCTGCAAATTAGCCACATATCAGGTATTTACAGGGAATATGTTGATTCCAACTTCTATTGCGTCTGTGTGTCTGGCTTCCAAATGAATTATGAAATCAACTTCTTAAGTTAGAACCAGAATCACCACACAATTTATATTCAGTATTGGTATGACTTAAAGCTATGCACCTAACTTTTTCATGCAGTTTTCTGTCTGTTTAATGGAGCTATACCTATTTTGCTATCAACTCCTTCATCAGTTTTAACTGGATCCACATAACAATTTTATCTTTTATAATTTAGTATTTCATTATATTACATGGACCCTATTTAACAACTTCAACACTTTATGGCTCCTGTGGTAATTACTTGTATCTAGTTGATGCTTTTTATCATTCATGGCAGATGCATTAAAAGATTTTCATATTTTGTAACAGTATCAGTTGGTCAATTTTGACAGAATCGGTTCACAATAAATCCAAAATCAATGCTAATGAGACAACCATTTTAGATCTGTTTATTCAACATGGTGTTAATTTTGACTGAAAAATCATTTATAGAAAAATTCATTGTCAACAATATTATAAATGAATATTCATCGTCATACACGTTTGTAAATCTTGACCCACAGATTTATCTAAAATTAAAATCTAGGTTAGCTAAACTAAAAGTATATTCAACACTCTAGACATTTATTTATCTTAAACCGAATGAATTGACGCATGTTAAAATACCACCAACAAAACAATAGAAAAGTCAAATTTGATTTTAATAAAAAAAAAAGACAAATGTGTAATAAATGTGTGTATTTTAGAAAACATTGGGTAATCACTTTACAAAAATACTTGTACACACTAAACTTACGGTAACATATGTGCATTGGGTTACCTTGAAAATATCAGGTTTCATGTTTCTTGTTTCAGAAATTCTTTTTTATTTGCACTAGATACATGACAATCTTGCAGATGGTACTCTATAGAATATGATTATTTAGTAGTTTCCAACCATGAAGTATTATGGTAGACTGCTGATGTTGTTTGGCTGGAGTGAAAGTTGTAAATGGTGTACAAGTGTTTTTAACCTGCTACAACATCTCCAGGTATGGTAATTGGAATATTTTATTGAACGGTTTGGTATATGTGACCCCAACACAGAATGTGTAAGGTATTAGGGAATACTTATCTGATTATGATATCAATATAATTGTAAACAAAATTATGGAAAATTTATATGTAACTATTGTATCAGCTATTGTGTCTTTGAAATTATGTAGGGATCTTATTGGCAATTGCAAATGTTGTCTTGTTATAAATTATGTATGGCCGATTTTTGTTTTTGTTTTTAAAAAAAAAATGAATAAAAGTTTTTATTGATGATTAACGTTGTAAGAGAATAAATCCCAAAAAAAGTTGTACTGCCACACAACCTGTCTGTTTTTATTAGTATACATGTACAATTTGTGTGATTTTCTGAGCTGTTTGTTTAATGTTTAATGTCACAGGCAATGGGAGCTGTTGACATAAAAATGTTATATATGAATTGTACCACTGAAACAGAAGTCAATAAATGAATAAAATAATGTTCCAAGAATTTTTCTTTATTTCTTTCTATTTGATATGAAATACAATATGGTGAGGTGTTCAAATAACTGTTTCATTTTAGTCAAGAGATCAGGACCATCAATGATGGAGTGTTGGCCTTTTCTGCTTCAATTGAGGGTCCGACATGTGTAGGTCGATGTTCCGTGTGGAGGTTTCTGTTTCTCAGGAAACTGCTGAACAGGTTGTGTCCTTGGACAAAACTCTACCCTAATGGCTCTGGATGGCATCTGACGACCCCTTGCGTGTTGTTCGCCAGCTAGTTCAGGGAAAACTGACTTAAGAACGACTTTGACTGTCGATGGATTGATAAATGTAGCAAACAAAATGTTGTCCAATGTTTGCATTTTATCCTTAAACAATCTTTGTTATGCTATTAATTGAAAAATACAGAAGTTATTTATCATAATCCGTAAGTAGGTTTCCTTTATACAATAGACGTGTATGTTAAATTTTGGGACATATCTCTTAAAGGAGTGGGAGACAGACAAATTGATTAGATTTTGACTTATTACTATCGCTCGAGAAGTAGTTGAATCTCAAATTTATCATGTAGGTTTCCTCTAGGAATTTGACAGCCTCCATAACGATATTTCTTAGAAAGTCCTTTTCAAATTCCACAATTCTAGTTATGATGTAAATGTTAAAGATTATTTAAGATTTAAGATGCTGTAAACGTAGCAGGGATAATCCTCAAAGATAAAAAGTGTTGACCAGAAATAAGAAAAATTGATTCTGAATTAATATATTCATTTGTTTATTTTACTTTATTTGACGTTTCCGTGGGGACAAACCCATTTTGATTGGAAGTCAAAACAGAAAAGAAGATAGCATGTATTTGACTGAACTGTTATAGCCGGCTGGGTGTTGTGTTTATTTCACTTTATTAACAAAAACAAATATAAAGTTTTCCCTTTTTCCCTCCGTGTGATTGGTGGTTTACGACTACTGATGTTATAACAAAACAACAAAGCAGGATATTTTAACACACTGTATCTTATTACCTAGCAAATGAATCAACATCTACTTGAAAAATGTTTAGCCTACAAACGTATACAGTATTGTGAGACTAGATGTTCTTATTTTCAATAATATTAAGTGATTGTCAGTACATTTTACACAAAATTTTCCCCGCACATTCCAACGATAATCGGTGTGTATAGAACTTTCCCCCGCACAGTCCAACGAAAACCGGTGTGTATAGAACTTTTCCTCGCACAGTCCAACGATAACCAGTGTGTATAGAACTTTTCCCCGCACAGTCCAACGATAACCAGTGTGTATAGAACTTTTCCCCGCACAGTCCAACGATAACCAGTGTGTATAGAACTTTTCCCCGCACATTCCAACGATAATCGGTGTGTATAGAACTTTTCCCCGCACAGTCCAACGAAAACCGGTGTGTATAGAACTTTTCCCCGCACAGTCCAACGATAACCAGTGTGTATAGAACTTTTCCCCGCACAGTCCAACGATAACCAGTGTGTATAGAACTTTTCCCCGCACATTCCAACGATAATCGGTGTGTACAGATCACATTTTTAAGAATGTAGCGGTCATATCGAGATAAAATAGTACAGACATTGAAAACGTTATTAAAGTAGACCATTTTGAGAGTTAAAATATTTGAGTCTTCTAAATAAACGTAAAATTTTGGATACTTGTTTGGCATTCCGAAAGGAGGCCCGACGGGATTATAATTTTGAGATATTTTTTTAAATCGTATACAAAGCCCGACAGAAACGAAAAAAAATGCTTCTGGGTTGAAACGAAACTGCGAAAAATAGAGACATTGGGAAAAAAGAAAAGAAAAGAAGAGAAGGGATTGTCCATTTCATGAAAAAACACATCCGTTTTGCATTAAACATTTGATGTCATAAACACAACCTTTACGTTGTCTTTGGTATGTTAATCCAATGTGGAAACAACAATAATGTTCGTATCAGCTTTAACTTCCATAGCTCAAAATATGTCATAAATTACATTCTATTGCACTGAAGTCTTAAACACTATTAGTCAGGGATGGTGTCAAAATAAACTATGACGATGCATCTCTGAAAGAGTCCTATCTTTCTTGGAACTTTCCCACGACACACGTTCCGAACACCATCCAGGTGCTACAATGTACCGTCCTTTCATCTCAGCAACTCCCCCAGGTGGCGCTCGGGTGTTGGTCGTGTAGAAAAGTGTGCTATTTGATTCATTCTGGTCTGTTATTGGTTGTAATTTCTTAGGCGATGTTGGATGTATTATACGTGCATAATTTAGTCTCTTCATGGTAGCCCTACAAACAAAACATCTGGATAAGTACGTAAATTGTAATAGTGAAAATAGCATTTGCTTGTCACTTTATGAGAAATCGAACATCCTGTAAAATCATGCATATTCGTGGCATGAAATTGCGGTTTTGTCTTCCTTCAGAAAATTGCTAGGTCGGTGACACAATATTTCGTAGATAAAGCGTATTTAGAGAATCAACTACTAATTCATGATGGTCTTAATAATTATTAACCATTTAACATGAAGTTAACAAATGAGGTGATTTATTAGGAGTACCCGAAATAGAACTAAAGTCAAAGCCACGCATATTAACAAGCTCACAGTATAGCCTACTTTTAAAATGACGGCTTCAAGATATTTTTACGTTTAAATGGAGTAAGTGGAAATATGAACATCAAGAAGATATAGACAGCTAAAATAACGTTCGTATTTCAATGAAAGATAATTCAGAATAGAAAAATATTCGAGCGGCCGGCTTAAGAAAATGGTTATTCAAAATGCAAAATGGATGGCTCGCTTGACTTAAGTAAACGCTAATCCAAGATAGAAAAAAAGATAGATCGGTAGATTTTGGTAAAAAATAAAATCAATTCTTTCCTTACTTTTTTGCCACTTGATTCTTAAACTTCTCCCCAAATTCCTTTTTCCATCTTGCAACTTCCGGTTTGTCAGGTCTCACCCACTCGACTGACGTTGCACTCATGGCATTTCTGTTGTTCATGAGCTGTCGCATCATTAGAGCAGGCGGTCTCAATCGTGTCTGGAAGTTAGGGTCATGGTGTTCACTGAATTCATAACTCAGCGTTCCCTTGCTCCTAAACCAATTTTCTCTTAAACGGGCTGTTTCTGAAATAAGATTTCGTGTAAATATAGATATGAAATTGTTCAGATAAACAAAACCGTGATTTGAATTCACAATCAAAGCGTATACTTCACTGATTTCATACAGGGACCTTTATATAAATTTGAGAAAAGTCCTCAAAGTGAGAGCAGATAGCATTGACAAGAACACAAAAAATAAAGGTTACTCTGTAAAAACATATCGAGGTGTATCAATAACTGACAAGGCAAGGTTTGCAACTTATAACTTACCTGCACGTTTTCTGTTCGATGGTCTCAAATCAGTGCTAGGGATGGGCAACAATGGAAATATAGGCATGGCCATCTCCTGTAACGGTAAAATACTATTTGACTTGCCTATCAATTTATCATTTTTTAATTGTTATTCTGCGTTTCCTATTTGCCAGAATGGACACGTGACAAATTATAAAAAGTAATTTAACATGCTCCAAGAACATTGTAACCCTGTTATTTCCATAAATATCCACTTTGCCATGAGTTAGGGACAATAGTTATTGTATTGTGGCTGTTGAAAAGCGCTCGAAATACCAAGACACAGTTCAAACTTTCGTTTCCGATCAATTTTTATGGAACAATGAAGCAGTTGTAGCATGTTGATATCGGTCATGCCATGATTTTTATCGCACCAGTCAACAACATCGACAGAGGATGAATTTGTTCTTGATCGGTAAGATAAAACCCTGGACTGACCCCAAATACGTTATTACTCAAAGTGGACTCATTCTTTCGAAAACCAAACTGATGATGATGATGCTCTGTTCTGAAATGAAATGCAGCAATACAGTCTCAAGATCTTAAAGCAGAATTGCTATTTTAGTTACATGCAAGTAAACTTAACTCAATGTGAAGCAGAAAGTCAAAAGACCTTGTTGTAACCTGATTATTATCAAAGGGACAATCGTGATAACTTTATACTGTAATTTAATGCAAGATCGACAGTTCTTTTTAACTAAACAGACACATTACTTCTACGTAAATGAATTGAACTATTACATACTATTTTATTAGTTATCAACATTAACGTACACGCATTAAAATTATACAATGGAAGTCAGTCTTACAATGACATTTGTTTTAATTGGTCTTCTCTACATTCTGTCAAACACTTCCATTATTTCTACATATGTACTAAGTTTATTTGGAAAGTAGTACTTCAGGGCTATACATTGACAATTTAGGCCACTTATATCACTGACGGGGCGTAGAAGGACAAAACAACTGTGTGATGCAGTTTAATGCATTATCTGGCTCCACTGTATTTAATTCTAAATTTGAATTGAAACCAAGTAAGTGTTTGCAATTTAATTCTTCAGCAATGAATTTTACATTCAGCTTTGTTGCATCAAAGAATAGAATGTAGTCAAATAAAAATTTAGATAATACATATATAAAGAAAATTGGTTGACGAAAAACCATTAGTATTCAACCTTCAGTAAAGTACTGGAGAAAAGAGACCAGTGATGTTGGCTCCATCATAAAGTATCCACCCAAGCCAAGAATATATATGATTATCCACCGGTCAAAATTAGAGTGAACATTAAAATTGTACAAAGGATTATTCAAAGTCACGTGTAAATAAAACCATTCAATACAAATTTAGAATTAGATACAGTACAGGCAAATAAACTTCATCATACTGGTGATCCTTGTCTCCAGGACACGTCAGTGATGAGAAGGAACTACATTGTTGTGACTATTGAGATGAAAACTTGTCGAAATAAATAGTAATGTACTGGGTTGGCTCCGCTTTTGCGTCCGTATTTATCATATGCATACAACATCTCTTATATATGGATCAAACAAGATATGGACACGGGCGTTCAGCACAGTGCAGTATAATGGAACCTACCCTACTACTCAGTCATGCGCCGATAACTTTCAATTTATAAATAGCTTCCTGTTGTTCAGAAAAACATAAAATATTAGGGTAATATCTATTCTGCTTTTTTGTTTGTCCTTGCGTTCATCGGTAAAAAGTATGAACGTAAAGCAAAGGTGATGCTATTGTCTAAATGTCTTTTACGAATAATGAAGTTTGTTTAAGATACAAATAAAACCTCGAAGCAACATTATTCTGGTTAACATTGCTGCCAAAGCTGAACTCAAGACGCTAAATAATGTTGTTTGAAAATATTGTCATTTCAATATTGTCTCCTATTTCTATTTATAACATGCCTATTCAACACAATACTTACTGTTCTTTTTGTTATTTTCCGTCGTGCGTTTACATAGTGTTTGAGTATTTCTAACACACTGAGGTGTATAGTATACTGGTGTTCTGGATGTATGTATTGTCTCATTCATAACCATTTGCAATTGGTCGTGTTTCCAACAGTACTGTTTTGACAGCATGCATGAATTGTAATGTGATTGATATGTAACATTGTTTTAACCTTACAAAAGATAATACAAAAAGAATTTGAATGAATAACACCTATTTAGTATCTTACACATTAACTATATTTACTTTAATTTTCAGAAAAAAAGATGAAATAAACACGGTAAGTATTGAACATTGGATACATAAAAACAATCAGTTCTATTCCATCTGATTTTGGGCATCAATCGTTTCATGAAAATCAATCTCAACCAGAAATATCTACTGGCGTGTTTAGGTACCATGACAATGACGTAAAATAATTTAAATACTTGTAATTGTACATTGCACCAGGTATCAAAAGCAAGGCCATTATTATTCCGACGTGCCAGATCAACTAATGTGTCAGTGTATTGTCAAATTCAGCTAGATATGATCTCATCATTATGTATGTCGTTTCACGACATCTGGTGGCCGAGCAGACAGATCAGCGTGCCAAATAACACAATACACCACCCGATATCGTAAGGAATAATATTACCATTTCTTCATTAAAACAGGTGGAACGGTAAAAAAACCATTCTACCTTATATGACACTGTAGGATTTGCGTCAATGCCAAGTTGGTCATCTGCTGTCATCTGTGTTTGTTTATCAGTCTTAACATATATGTAATTGTACTTATCTTGAATTATTTTTTTTCTCGAATTTCTGAACAAAAACAATTATGATACATTGTGTAATCAAGAAGAAAGAAGCCTGGCCATTTCACAAATGGTAAATATTTAAATAATCCCAAATTGCTTCTTAATATTTTAATTCAGAGTATTTAAAGTTGACAGGAATCAACTGGTTTCATATATCTGAAGATTTTTTTCCATTTAAATGACTTATTAAAATTTTGTACTGATTTCATTAAGTGTAAATCAGTTGTGGAAAATGGGTTACAGTTCAAGCCCTAATAGGTAATGTAAATTGAGATGTCAATTTAGGTGTATGTAATATATAACTTACTGAGACAGTTTCAGAAGAGTTGAATAATTGCACGAAAAAAAGATATATCAAACGTTCTATGGGGTTGGATATTATATAAAAGCTTAGTTCGTTGACATACACTGTCTCTATCGAATAATACTTTGGGTATTTATTTCCATTGACGTTCTTAATAGAACGGTCGATAAGTGCTATTCTCTCGCATAATAAAGGGCTAAATAGACTATGATGTACCAGTTTTACGGTAACTTGTTTCAAATTGCTTTTGGTTCGTCAATAGAGGAAATAATATAAACTAGTACCAAAGCTTAAGCGATATTATGTTGAAGATAACAATACATATTTGTCTATAGATATTTCATATATACGTGTAGATCGTAGTGTAAGCTGTAACTACCTTCACGTTTATGTAGATTTATAAATATTTAATATATTATACCAAATATATATTTTCACGAAGAATATATTGATTCATGGTTCGATTGTTTAGAAAAAATAGTATATGCTATCATAAAAGAGCGAAAAATCACAGTTTTGTCATGTGCATCCGAGTATAGCTTTTATATCTCTATCTAACAGATGGCTTTCAAAATCATATCTAAAATGCCTATTTGAGTTTAATTTAATGATAAGCATGTATATAGCACAAGTACAACAATATAATACAAATATTATTAAAGTCTTATCTTCAATACAATATACTTCCAGTATAGCTTATTACATGATATATATTTGTATAAAGAGACCACTCTGAATTAAGTTATAACAGATTGCAACCGTTACACCACTATGTACAACATTGCAGGTAAAATAAACTACACATATTTAATTAAATTTAAATTTAATCCATTGTTATTTAATTAACAAAAGCTATCTGTATACTTATAATAATATGCATTAGAAAAAACTCAATTCTACAAATACAACATCTACTGTGAACTCTCTCTCTCTCTCTCTCTCTCTCTCTCTCTCTCTCTCTCTCTCTCTCTCTCTCTCTCTCAATTGAATAAGCTTGCTCTTCATATAACCAAATCTGTTCTGAATTCATACATTAACAAATAAACCAGTAAACAAAGAATTATACTTACTAGCTATTAATTAGACCTATGCCGTTGTTTCCATTCAAACTTGTGTACCCGGTGTGTAACACTTCAACTTATGTTGTAATGTACATATCTACAAACCCACGTCCTATACACGTCCAGATATGATCCAGTAGCCCCACTCATTCTATTGTATACTGAGAGTGTGGATATCAGCTGATCAATACCCCTATCGATCAATAGCAATCGACATTGATGCCAATCAATGTTTGAGTTTAGATTGTGATAATTGATAGTCCGGTTTATCGATAGGTTAACGAAAACAAGAACTATTCAACAACGACCTATAATGCTAAAACCAAACATTACAAACAACAGATTAGAATTATGATCTAGAATCGAATATCAAGATTGAAAATTGCCTAAACTTCCCCAAATGTAAATATATTCATTACTTACTTCGTCGAAGCCTTGTTTGTTGATTTTGGCCATGGTCTTTAGACTATTTGAGAGATCCCATTCTTCAATTCAATACATTTTTATGTATGAAATGTATTCTCAGGTGCGATGTTATCCATTGTATGTCTGCTGGTACAAACTGAACTTTAAATGCCGCATTCTTATGTTAATTACAATCAAATTTATTCTGGCCTTTCACGCGTCAATTAACATATTATTAATTTTCAATATTTTGAAAATAATCTGATAGGTAGACTGGAAAATAGGTAGACTTAAGTTTCTATCCGATAATATCAGCTATACGTGTATGGATGAATGATATTACGAGAAGAAATATTGACGACAAAGTATGGTACTTGGTTGTAGACCCAGTGTTGACATACACGCACACAGGTAGATTGAAACACCAATATCAAACTTTACATCACAATTAATAGAACAAATTAATACAATATTGTATATATTTGTTACCTGTTCAACCTGAGTAACCGTTAAGTATATCATACGTGTAATGATGTTTGCTATAAATGTCTTATACACAGGTTCCAGCATACTGAAATGTATTGATGCCGACTTTTGCGAAGGCTCTTTATAACTAACACTATAAATAATGAATTTTGATAATAGATGATATAAAGAAAATACGTTTACACAAACAATTATTAATGTACAAACATAGATATATCATTAACTGTTCAAAATGAATTGATAACAAAAATGAAATAATATACAATCGGCTCTTATCTTTTTAATGTTAAATTAGTCATACATACATATATATATAAGTACCGATTTAAAATAAACTGTATCTTAAGCGATTATGAATAAAGTAAATTCTTTTTAGTAATTGCACCTACAAGTTAATTTACTTTACACACACTACAGTTTGGATATTTATCGCTTGATGTATAGAGCGTCCTGTATGGGCTAAAAGGTCAACCGGAGAGCAATATTATACGTTTTGATGTTTGAAATTAAAAAAATAGCTCATTTCAAGACCTACAACGTTGATAACCTGAACAAAAATGGCATTGGAGGTAAACGGGTCTGAAGTCGTCTGTTATATGAAAACTACTTACCTTAACATCGACTTTCTGCAGGATTGATTATGTGTCTGTTATAAATCAGAGTAATTCAACAATGAAAATATATTGACAATCCTCCCAAACTTTTAAAACAATCAGTTAAATAATTCATCGATTCAAAGGTTTTTTACTGTATGAAAACAGTAGATAGTGGTTATTGATTTGAAACGTAAATATTGATGTACGACACTTGTATAACCTGGTCGTGCACTACAATATCTATATTCGGTTATGTTGAGAATTCACTCAGTAATGCGTACACCTGTAGTTCATTAGTGGTAATACATTTCAAATCAATACACGAGTTTAAATGAGATATATTTAAGATCGTAACGGTTCATACTGACACCTGTTTTGTTCGTAGTTCAATATTGTTTTCAACAAACTGTTACACTGGTAGGAATATAACCTGACTAATGTAAGATATTATTTAGCTTTATGATCAAATTAAAACATGAAATAATAAGTTGATATAATACTTAACAGTATGATAGATAATTTATTTGATGTTAATACAGACAAGAGAATATTTTTATGTGTTGTAAATAATAATGAAAATAACTGAAAATCTTGTTCGTTTCTATTACTAACATTCCAAAACATATCTCGCATTTTGTAAGCACTTATTTACACGATGATAAATTGAATCCAGTAATATTTGACATATGTACAATTATGGCATTAGTTAAATCATTTCGTATTTTCCTTTCTTTTTCCTTCAAATACCATGCAATGTAATAATCTTTTATCAGTTTCAGAAATGTCTTGTATTTACATTTTATGTAATTTGTGTGCAGACATACTTAAATGTTTAATCCACACCTCATTTTATTGAGTATGAACTATAAAATCCAAAACTACAAGTGACACAACGGAATGCCTTATCTATGAAACTGTATTATAATATTGATTTTGTGCATGGACACGTTACTCATGGCTGGCATTTACAGAACCTTTCATTTATATTTATTTGAAGTATAAATAGAGTAATTTGTCAACATAATTCGGAACACATGAGCGATAAAAGGTAATTTAGTGGTTAAAAATTATAAAACATTCGTGCTTATCTCATTGTTTTAAAAATAAATTACACATTTAACATTATAGTGTGTATAAGGACTGGTTTGTTTGACAGATAGATCCACCCCACACGGTGTACAGAATACATAAAAAGACTCGTGTCAAACATTAGTATGATGTATTAGATAAACAGAAAATGGATTCGAGGGTTAAAGCTATTTACTTTGTTATATCACGTAGGCACAGTTAAACCAACGCCTAATATAAGACATTATCAGCTGTGATTACAACACCAAAAGAAACAAAATACGTATTGAAAAGGAATAATAGTAAAACATCAAGATCCTCCCTTAGAACTTCAATATATATATATATATATATATATATATATATATTATATATATATATATATATATATATAAATTTTCATAAATTACACTTTGACACGTGTATTGTTTTATATGTTAATATCTAACAAACGCTTATGAATTACAATATGATAAAATGTTAAATGTATTTGTAAGTATCAGAGAACGGATTTGGAACTAATTTGTAATTTATGGTGGCAACTGTGTTACATGAAACACAATATCGTGGTGACAATAAATAGGTGGTTGATACACATTCTCCACTAACAAACATAAAATAGCAAGTTTAGGAGCATCTTGATACTCTAGGGGTAACGCTCACCATCGTGCTCTGCACCCCTGGAACATTTCATGGCATAATTGAAGGCACAAGTAGTTTTATTAGTTTAGAGCGGGTTACGGATGAAAAATTACCAATTACATACTGACACGATTACGATGGACCGACATCCAATTTGAACCTCAAGATGCGTTTACGGTACAACAAAGGATCAAATCAGTCTGTTCGTTTTACTCACCAGGTGTCGTACCTGTAACTTTCAATTTTGAAATGAAATGTTCCAGGGCAATGACAGCGAGACATTTCCGGTTTCCATCGGCTGATAGGCTTATTCTTTACTATCAGACTGAATGAAATGATTATGTTTTGATGAGAAAATCGATGCGAGAGTGATGGGAACAGGATCTGAATAAGCATAAAACTACAAAACACGAAACACTTGAAGACACGCAATTCTAATGCCAGTGCTATTTGTTTCATAGATCGATAAATGTAACATATTTTGCTAAAACATTCATCAATGATAAAAAGTTGCAATGTATCTACAATTTAATACTGTTTCCGGATGTAACCAACACTGTCTTGACACTCATTAATTATATTGCATATCAGAAGATATATTATCATCATCAGTATCCCTTCTCTTAGTATAAACTTTTATCTCATTGCTCTTTACGTTGCATCAGTAGTAACATCAAACACGTAATTGAAATTAGATATTGAAACAAATTCACAACTTCTATAAATCCATCTCAAGTTAGAGAAAATGCATTCGAAATTAGGGACATAAACTATCATAATGTGTGCGAAAACGCTGTAATACGCATAGGATATTGTCTATAGGAGCAGAAGAGGGAGAAATGGGGACTGGGTCAGATATACCATAATACAATTTTAAAGCAAACACTAAATGCATATATATATAGAGAGAGTTCACGGTGAATGAAAGACCTGGACATGTGTGTATTGAAAGAAAATAAAGAACACCCTTTCACATCTTTTCGATCCGAGGATGAAACTTTGTGTACATGAAAAAAATATTGCATTTTTAAAACTCACCTTCACTGAATCACTTCTCTTATGATATAGTTATTGTTTATATAAACTTGTAATCGATGAACAACTCTACTGCTCATAGTCTTTATCACACATACCTCACATCCATTAATACTACAATGTAACTAGACACAAAGACAGGCACGCTAACAATGGATGTAAACTAAACCAGCCAATACTGAAATCATCTCACACTATCATGGTAGATATAATAAGTGGACATTCTTAATAAGATATGCTGATTTTTTATAGTAGAAAATTATTGATTGTAAAGATTAACACCAGTGGCATTTTTCATGATAATAAATATCATATGTCTTCATTTATTATCCTTTGTGGGTGTAAGTCGACAAAATTCCATTTTGGCTTTCCATTGTTGAATTAATCGTACATAACCATTGTCTGTCGGCATATATGATATATTTAAAAGCGTTTACGGTACAAAGACATGCATTGCCGGGCTTTAAAATTTGATCTCGATAATTATTTCACAACTGAATACCGATGTTTTTGAGATGAAAATTTATCAAATTCAAATAAAGTACTGATTAATCACAAAACCGAGTGACTCCCAAAGCGGAAATGTTTCAAAGAAACGATAACATTTCTCGACCTAAATAAATCAATCGCCAATAATTTTTTTCCCCCAAGATTTTTCAGTACATAACACAGGACACACACATACACACACACCCTCACACACACACACACACCCTCTCACACACACACACACCCTCACACACACACACACACACACACACACACACACACACACACACACACACACACACACACACACACACACACACACACACTTAAGTCATGAGGATGATGACAACAACAACATCATCATCATCTTCATTATTATCATCCTCATCATCATGAACATGTCTTTTTTATTACTGCAACCATCATCATCATCATCATCATCATCATCATCATTTTTTTGTTTTTTGTTTTGACACTTACACACCATTTACTTTCACAACATGACACATCCACAGGAGCTTTCGGTATATGTTGTACACATATAATACAATTTACCTTTTATGCTCACTCATACATCCTTACATCTAACTCATACACCCTTACATTTCACTGATACACTTTTACACCTCATTCATACACTCTTACATCTCACATGTACACGCTTACACCTCTCTCCCACTCTTACACTTTTATACCTCACTCAAATGTATTTCACTGTACTGATACGTTAAAAAGGAAATAAATAAGGAACAACAGACAGGCAGACTGACAGACAGACAGACAGATAGACAGATAGAAAAGGTATTTGAGAGGATAGATAAGAAAATTGAGGAAGGGAAAGGATGGTAGTTACTGTTAAGTTGTATATAGTGTGTGATAGTAAGAGACCAAAAAACTATACATGGAACTATGTCAGAGATTGGTGATTTCTGAAATTCCTACATGCGTAAAAAAATCATTCTAAAATTTAAATTATATTGGAGATCAAATGGAAGCAGGAACACATAATCCTTATCGCTATAACATAGAAGAATACAAAGTTTTTCAACGTCGTAAGCTAAAGATCTATCTGGCAGACCAAACAAAGCGTCTTTGTGATCATTTTTTCTTACTGACTGTCCTGCAGAGAGCGAAAGTGAGCAAAACCCCTGAGTATCGAGATTGTTTACTGACAAAGGCGACATCCGTTTACAGTTGTAATGGTAACCACATCAATCCAGTCTATTACACGTAAATCTTCCCGATGAAACACTAGACTCGTCGTTTCGTGGAATTTATGTAATTGAGAGCCGCATCAATTGTTGCCGACTATATACCAATACGTAATAATCTACTTTTATTCCAAGCAAATTAAAAGATAAAATAACGTATTTATTTATAATTTTGCGATAGTTTACACATTTATACACTTTTTGTCGCATTGGCCCAATCCTATCAAATTGCTCTGTATTTGTTTGTGTTGTATTTCTCAATATGATAAAGTGAAGTCCTATGTATGGGATGAGAGACAGATGGTCGGCTGTCCGAAGCCCAATGTTCGCCTACCCTTCAAAAACTCTTTATCGCAATTTTCTAAAGTGCCTAAGGGAACATTCTCGAATTCCATAGATATATTTTATATGTCCATAGCTGTGCAAGTTTAATTAAAGGACGGTATCATCATAAAAAATCATACCTTGGATTTTGATGGAAAGGAAAATGTAGGGTACCTCAGGGGAGTTTGTTAGGTCCTCTTCAGTTCTTGATATATGTCAATGATATGCAAGTCAGCATTGATTCTAACTACATGTTGATGGTGTATGCAGACGATTTTGCTATACTTTTTCCCATCTAAACCCAGCAGTAATATCGCAAATAATGTCTTTGGTGTTAGAGTACTGTCAAAAATGATTAGTGGATAACAAGCTTTCTCTACATTTAGGTAAAACAGAAAGTATTATTTTTTAAGAAAATTGGATAAAGCTACAAAAATGAATTTTAAATTATTGTGCAATAATCATGACATTGAAGTTATGAAGTGTATAAAATATCTTGGTATAGACGTTAACGATTTGCTATCAGGTGAAGAAATAGCAGATTCAATTGTTAAAAAAGTTAATCAGGGACTAAAATTTCTCTACGAAAATGTGCAATGTCTATTGTATAGGTCGAGGAAAACTCTTAGCTCGGCATTGATTCTTTGTCATTTCGACTATGCATGCGCTGGTTGGTATGAAGGGTTGTCAAAAAAAAACTAAAATTAAATTACAGGTAGCACAAATAGGCACAATATAAGATGTAGTGATTTTTTGCGTACAAACATGTTAGACATTTATTATATGGTTAGTAAAATCAGACTGAATCATATGTTTAATGTTTTCCATGAAAAGGCTCCAAACTATATGTATACTTCCTTTAACAAGAATCTTTGTCTACAAAATACTCGATCCTCAACATGTAATTTCAGTCTCCCATCAGTACAAGGTAAAGAATCTACAACTTTCTATTTTACAGGCGCAAAAGAAAGGAATTCTCTTCCAGATTATATTAAAAGTATATAAAACAAGCTTAAATTCAAAACGTCACTTTCAAAACAAAATGCAAGAGAATCATGAAAGTTATTATGTATATTATTAAGGGAAATACATTTGTAAATCCATTTTAAGGACCCCAATGGAAATAAGCATTTTAACATTTTTTCTTTTTTTCTTTTTATGCGAAATCCTAGGATACATGTACTTTTGTCTTTATTAATAATTATAACTAGCTGATACATTAAAGATATAGCTAACAACTTATTCCTGATTATGTATAACATGTTATATGTGCCAGATATTCATATGTCTGTTTACAAATCTGTACATATTTATCCTGAATAAATGTATTATTATTATTATCATTACCCTTATTTCGATATACGTTGTTACGCATTTAACGGTAATATTACCTTTGACCGGGCGTAGCCACGATTTTTACAAATATTTTCCCTGTCCGTATATGTTTTTTGCACGTGAAGTAGGTCTACACGTGTAATGAATTATTCTTGACTGAAATGGTACTATTGTGCCTTTTTCTGTTTTGTACGTAATAATCTTTTTTGTTGAAGTGTGCACTTGTGGGTTTTAAACATTCTTCATAATTTTATTTATTTATTTATTTATTTATTTTGATAGCCAATATTTCATTCATTTACTTTTATTCCTTTGTTGTTATTTTTTCTTTTATTAAGTGTAGTCACACAGGTAACTCCGCCTGTTCTGATACACTGTTTTAAAATGAGTTGGAGTTACTCCCCCTCCTTCATGTTTACTTCCGGACAGACGTCCCACGTGGAGTGGTTGGCTACAAGTGCACTTTCTACGATTGCTGCCTCTCTCAAATGTTCAGAGGTATGGTATGATGTACAGTTATAAGTCCGTGATCTACGGTTCGTACAAGTATACATTAGATATATAATGTACATGTTAACAGGCCCTCTTATTCAGACTAAGCCTGGATATTGGCAATGTACGAAGGATTTCAAGTTTGTCACAAATTCGTTTAAAGCCAGGCTTATATATATATCACAAAGATAGTCTAAATTTAAAAGGAAGTATTTTTCGTGAGTCAGTACGTTATGCATTTTAAATATATAGATATAATCTAGAATACATACATTTGTTCGGTGTGTGGCGAACCTCTAGTGGTCATACCAAAATGTCAAGATCAACGAAGATTGAGTTACAAACTAAACCAAGGACAACAATATGGTTTTGCTTAGATTATTCTCACATTCATCCATTTATCATTCCTTATCAATACTTTTAAAAAATCCATGTATCAGAGTGAAAAATCATAGCCTTTTATGAAATATTTCATGCCAGTAGAACGATAGCTAGTTTTTTTGTTTTTTTTTAATGGTAAGTAAATATACGCAGTTGTACACGATTACACATACATTGCTTTAGGTTTGGTTTGTATTTAATGCCTGGCTTATTTTAGGGTATTTTTAACAAAAAGAAAAAAGATATAAGCAGAATGGAGAAATGTGGCGATTTTCTGATACTTAATCTTTAATACAAATGTTTACCTTACCATAGCTTTACTATTGCTCCAGCGTGCGAAACCTAGCATGTCGAATCTAAACTTGATATGCTAGCACGATAATCCTGTACAGGTATATTTATCAAAGATCCTTCACCTATTGGTTTCCATGCTTTGATTTCTATTCTGATACCATGCCTATAGTTGATTCACAGATTGCGTGCTTTTGTAGGGTTTTTTTTCTCATGTTTTGCATGTCAAAGACTCAAAGGTCATACGATTTATTTATTTAAACAAAAGTGCTGTCATGCTTTGTTTCCTTTGAAGTGAGGTGTGTGACGATTTGTGATTCTATAGTTGGTAGACATTGCTTGCATGAAAAGGTCTCTAAGGGTTGCGCTTCAGCTTTGAAGTTCAAAGGTCATGATCTGTAACTTCAAATTTGATTACAATAAAGACTGTTCTTGGTTGTCATAAATGTTTATATTTAGGACGCAGGTTGCTTGCATGGGAGAGGGGTGGGGTGTTGACAGTCACATGATCTGTTACTTAAAGTAAAGATATTATGAATCTGCTGTCGTGTCATCCAAGATTGCATCTATAATAACCAAACCGAGGCTTCTGATAAATTCAAATTCGAACATAATTCGTTTTTGTTGAATTTTTTTATTAAGGTGTATCAAATGCTTCAGAAATCACGTATAAATTTGTTTTTATAAATCCAAATGGGGACCCCTGATTGGTTGAAATGCCAGACTGTTGCTTGCTAAAGATGGAATATTTCGTTTTGGGAGACATTCCTACGATTGCTTGCAATCATTTAACACAAATCACTGATTATTTATTCTCCTTTTGAGAATCTTTTTACTTCATTTTTCTATTATTTTTCAGATCAGCGCAACGAAAAAGACCATTTCGTACTGACTTTACAATGACTGATGTTGATGATGCAGCGTTGGTTAGAAATCTGAGTAAAAAGAAGAAGAAGAAAAAGAAGAAAGATCATGACGTGGTAGAGGAGAATGTTACCAACTCCACGAGAAAACATAAGAAAAAGAAACGAGCAGACGACAGCGAACAAGAAAATGCTGAGGATTCAGACAACATAACCGACGAATTATATAAAAGGAAAAAGAAGAAAAAGAAAAGCAAAGGAAATGATGATGAAGATGAGATCGTTGTGTCTCCGGTAGTGAAGAAGAAAAAGAAGCACAAGGAAAGAGAAATTATAGAGACAAATGAAGATGCTCATCAAAAAGAAAATTGTGAGCTTAAAAAGAAACGAAAGAAAAGTAAAAAATGCACGGATTTAAAAGAAGAATTGACTGATAACACTGACATTATTGAAAGTGAAATCCCAAAAAAGAAGAAAAAGAAAAGACGGTGCGATGGAAGTGATAATAGTTCCCCCGAGTGTAAAAAGCCAAAGTCTTTGACAGAAACGATTACTGCGCCTGACGAGGAGTCTATCCGTGTCAAGAAGAAGAAAAAGAAAAAGAAGCATTCTACGGAAGACAGAGAAACCTCACAGGAAGAGGACATGTCACCAAACAAATCGAAAATGGACATTACATCTAGTGGTCGTGTTGAGGAAAATGTAGGTAAATCTCAAGGGACTGAACCTATTGTTGGCCAGTGGGGTACATCATCTCTTGGAAATGATGCAAGGCAACAGAAATTCCTGCGACTCTTAGGAGGCTTCAAGAAAACTGACAACGCCAACTCTTTGGGGACAAACAAACCCAAAGGACTTTTTGGAAGTCTGAAAAGCACACCAACTAATATGAGTATGTCTTCACACGGAGGAAATAAAGCCATGGATTCTAAACAGGAGAGACTTTATCAAATGAACATGGAAAAGGACTATGAGAGGGCAATGTCAATGAATCTGAATAGGGGTATAGGTTTAGGGTTCGAGAAGCCGCCTGGTGAAGGTAAAAAGTTCTACATTGACCCTAAAGCATCCAAGTCGATAAAGTTTGATGATTGATACTAAATAGCATATGTATTTTTATTGTGCTTTGTCGTTTGTATATTATGCAAGACATCCTTGTATGTCTGTGCCATGTGGCAAAAAGAATTGCAGATCCTCCTTGTTTTGTGATTAATTATTGAAATTTCAGCTGTAAAAAAAATAAGTTTTACGAATACAGTGTTTCTTAAACCAGTGTTTATACCTGTTGAATATTACTTTTCTAATTGTGCTAGTGAATAATAATTTTTCCGAGATTTGGCATTATATTCTGAAATGTGAGTTTTAAAGTTATGACATGAAATATTTTCTTTCACCTTTAAGCTGCAAGGTAGATGGACAATTAATACGTAATATTTTCTTGAAAGCATCAAACTTTCCAATGAAGAGTTATCTTTTAAGGGTTTCATTAGCCTTATTGAAGATTAATTGGCTAACTGTATACTGCAACCCAAAATCTGGTGTTATGTATGGAGAAGAACAAAAATAAACACAAACAATCCAACAATTTTAATCGTTAATCTGGTACAAAACAATCTAGTTTACATCAAAACGAATACATACATGGAGACTGGGCAAAAATTGGTTTGCATGCAGAAAACAGGCAGGGAGTGGAACAACCCCAACCCAACCCTCACCCTCTCTTGTTTTCCACTTATCTCCAATCGCCTTGCTAGGTTAATACGAAATACATTATTTCCATTGGTAAAATAAATTACATCTCAATTAACATGTGTGCATTGATCGTCGAACTCATTATTCCGTAACTTACATAGCAAGAAAAAGGGTTAAATGAAATAAAAGAGTTTCCTCTTCCCAATACAATGTAACAATCGTTTAAGTTCATTTGTGCTATATCATACATTGTAGAAATACTGGAGAAGGTTTTCGTACACTTTCCTTTTAAAACACTTTACAACCAAACAGTGCAAAGATATCGGTGGGTCATGGTTATTTCGAAACACAATTTTCATAAATGTCTTAGAAATATCGAAATCAATTTGTTTTGTAATCTATAATGTACAAATATCGGAGAAATCTAATTAATTTCTGACCACGTGATCTCGATGTAACTAGAGCTGAATCTCTGTTCGGTGTCCGTTCATGTATGCCTTATTCTGCTATTTAGATAGGGAAAACCTAAGGATATCGGAATTCTTGTAATGATGCGAGTATGAGTATTATCTGCTCTCACACCATCAGTTTCCTCAAATGATGATGTTGAAATATTCAGTCTCATATAGCTACCGACAGCTTACAGTAGAAAGATCTATACTTACATCAAGGGTTCATATATTTTACTCCGTCACAATTTCTACAGTCAATACACGCATCATCACTGAGTCATTCAACTCAGGTGTTCGACAATGGTAATGTTCGGTTGAATGCAGCTAATCACGTCTTATATGTATTCTGATACTGATAGTCCGGGTTTTTTTTTTTTTTTTTTTTTGTTGGCGATATTGACCGGAAATTAGATGGAGCTCGTCTGAAAGAATGCCATAAATTCTTATTATATTTGAGCGTGTATAATACCAATCTGCAGGCCTTTTATGTGAATTGTACAGGCTATTATTTTACATTTTTATATATAGATCTTACATACACATGTCTACATAAAATCTTTCAAGGCAAAGTTACAGCCCATCATTATTAAGGTTTGTTTGACAGACGACAAGCAAACAACAGTCAGTTATATGTAGCTTGAAATAGAAATACTGTCAAAAAGATTAAAGTTTTGACGATTTAACCAAAACCTCGATGGAAGGCGACGAAATTTTCGCTGAACCCGTAAAATAATTATCTTTATTGATTTTACATTAATCTTTAAGTTTCGTCATATCCTTAAATATGGCTTAAATTAATGTCCTCAAATATAACAGCCTTTGCAGGAAAATATTCTATCCGACAATATTTCCCATTGACCAGGTAACAAAACAGTTGCCGTCTGCCTTATGGTATCGTCCTCTCTTTGATGCTCGTTAGTACACCTTTTGGCGCCGTTATTGTGGGAATATGTCGTTACTTACCTGGATTGAGTAAGATTTCTCAGAGTTCATTTTGTTTGAATCTTTCTTTTGATTATATTATTATTGAATTTGAGTTTGAGTTATAATTTTCTTGACACATTTTTTTTTAGTTTTTTTTTTAAGATTGGATATTTCATCTGGTTGGTCTCACTCCTCATGAGCAGTAGTCATAATTGTCTTCTTGTTTGATATTGGCGGTTGAACAGATCGGAGAAAATCGATGATGATAGTGATGCATAAAAGAAATGTCAAACCGAAATTGATTGAATTTAAGGTCTTAACCTATACTATATCTGGATCCTGATCGTTTTCGATACACAGAATGGGTCCTGATACTCTATAAATTTTGAAATTACTGAGAACTATTGAAAAACAAAGATTGCTTCAGTAGTTTTTATAACTTGTGATACAAGCCCACAGTAACAATGGTTAGACCGGAACGCTTAACAGCCGCTATAACTGATGACGGCTAAATTATATCAAGGTTTATGTAAGTCAGCGGCTAACATGTGTTTTGAAACGTCACGTTTACAGACGAAGAAACCGTTGATAAGAAAGAGAAAGGGGGCGTGGCTATGGGTCGACAGGCGATGTGTCAATCACACAGTTATGTAAATTATTCCAATCAAGGGACAAATAAGGGACAGTTTCCACGGCATCCACGTGCCTATGTCAATAGATATTTTGCTATTGATTTGGAGTGTCATGCACATGAATTTTTTTAAGACAATGCCTCGAAAGTTGTAACAAGTATAGTTTTTCCTAAATTCTATTAAAGCACGTATGGTTTGGTGAAGTGTTTTTTTAAGAAGTTAAATATATTTTATATAATCTCCCTTTGCCACATACACCTCATTTGACTTTTACCCTGAATAATGATTTCTTGTCTCTTTACACGTGTAAACTATACCCAGTTTATAAAGTATCTCGGGAATGTTTTGATCATTCTGATTACATAATAAAAGGCTGTTGGAGTGTGATATGAAAGTTTGGATACCACTAAAATTATTAAGTCATCTTTTATGTGAATTTTCATTAGTTAAAATTGATGTGTCTTGTTCACAATTTGCGTCAGCATTAATGACATATGATAAAACCCAGTTCTAAACGATATATAGATTATATGTATGAAAAGATGTTGCAGTAATGACTGGCTGTATTATTTCATTGTTTCAAATCAGATATCACTTTACATTTATCCTGTTCGGATACACTAGGTTATCAGATTCCCAAACACGATCTTTTTTTATGTTAATAGACTGTAGTTTGCAGAATTAAACCGTGTACTATTTGAATGGCATCTTGATGTCTACCTGTTAAATCAATCCAAAATATGTCGATCGGGTGTCTGAAATCTCAGTCTGTTTTTCGCCTGTTTTTCTGTTTCTGTTACAACTTCTTTCCACTTTAATCGCACACTCTACCATAATGTTATTATCTGTTTCAAGACCCTTAGATATCTGCCCATCCACCATATCAGATGAGCTTCCTTGATAAACGCTAGATATTGTTTTCTTCAATATTCTGCAAACGATTGTTATTTTCGAGGGATTTTATTTCTTATACATTTATTTAATCAGGAATATAAGGTAAGTAAAAAAAAAACATTGTCCATTTCATCTCCCTTTTTTTGTAAAACCCCGACAAAAAATAACCGTCGAAAAAGACAACCTTGGAAAAAAACCGCTAAAATATTTAACCGGCGAAAAAGACAACCTTTACACTATTTAAAACGTTTGTTTGACCAATGTGTGCATTGTTAGATGTAATTCAATTGTTAGCGGTGGCAGTATCAAGTTATGCTTTAATTTCCTCCCACAAATCAACGATTCGTTGTACATTATCACGAACATTTTTCATTTTTAATCCCAAAAGCACCACTTGTCAGATGATCCCGAGAACAACACCTATCACAACAGCGGAGATGGTTACTGCAGAAAACGTGAGCACTATAACACAAACACAGCGCTGGGTCCGTACGGTATTGTGGGTCTGTAATAGAAAATTGATAAGCAGTGTCATTACTTTAAACTTCATAATGCTTTTATACATATAATTCAGTCTATCACAAAAGTGCACATCAAACGCAACCAATATGCACAGCATACCAAGCCGTGTAAGAGTAATCTTATGAATTTGTCTGTTGTGAATTGTTTGTATGAAGTTTCATTAAAAAAATACAATACCAACATGACAACACAATCGTAATTCTCAAATTCCATAAAACTAGGGCAAAATATGAAAAAAAAGTATTTACACAGAGAAAAGTATAAGGAGAAGACCAGGTATTCTGGAAGAGTAAGTGTCTTCTGCTTCATCTACGACATCCGCCATGCAAACTTTGGTCAATCCAAGTAAGTACTGTCACGTTCTCCAGTGAGAATAAGGTATACAACAACGGAATCAACAGGCAAACTAACGAGCATTAAATACGTCCAGCTTCATGTCGTACAAAGAAACATAATATTTCGCAATGAGATCAACATGACGACCATAATTTCCATTAACATGCATGTTTTGAACCCTTGTGTAACGAGTTTGTCAGTCAGTTGACGACTGTCTGCACGAAAATCTTGATAATGCGAACAGGCCCTTAAATATCGAGTATTATTCTTGCTTAACAAAACATATGGTATTTATTTGTAGCGGTAAGTTTGATGTTGGAAGGCGTATTCATAACAACAAGATTTACATGACATATACTGACAGCTGTAATACACTGTTTCCTTGTGCGATATGAATTTGGTCTTATTTCTTGCTCTTTAGTGAGTCTGGTGGTTCTGTTATTGTTTACTTTGTTCTTATTTCGAAACATGAAATTACTTACATTGATCAAGATTTACACAGCGGGTGTCGTCGATAAAGTAGAAGACGTTTACCGTTCCGGAACACCTGGTATTCATTTTGTCCTTGCTCATAAGTCTCCATTTTAATCGTTCTTTGATTAATATTTTCCCGTCAAATTTTAATTTGATTTAAGTTTAATTGACAGGACGGCATTCTCTTAATTATCTTTGATGCTGTTTCATTTATTAACACTCTCTGCTTTCGAGAGGTATTAGTGGATCTGTTCCCATTAGGATAGTATTACAATATGAAGTTCGATGTGTTATTTTGACTCTGTTCGTACTTTGAGACCATGGCTTTCCTTGGAATGACCAAGATTTACATGCCTGGTGTTGTATGAGACAGGAAGACAAGTACACTTTAAAAACACGTTCTGCTTTTTTTCAACGCTCTGTGTAGAAATCTTTTCTCGATCATAATTGGCTGTCGTTTTATTGATTTTCAACTCAGAATTACGATTTTGTTTCTCATTTCATTAATTTCCTCTACAATCATGTCATATTGTATTTGATTTTGGATAAGGGAAGGTAAGGAGGTTGGAACGCCCTTTTACAAGCACATGGATTTTATCATGAACGTATGCTGATCAAGGCAGGCGCTAATCAGCCGTACATTTGAATTTTTTTACATTAATGATGTAGCAGCACATATCATATCCTTTAACTATTTTCAAGTGAAGTAATTGCTTGCAGCTTAATGTCTTTGATGCTTAAATCAAACAATGGCATATGTTTATGCTATACAATGGAAAACTTAGTAACGCGATTATTACAATAAACATATCATTTAATTACACGAAGTAGCATTGCACTGAAAACATAAAAGTCCATATTTAATTCAAAATTAATTTTTGTCATCAAGGATTACACGAGAAAAACTAACAAAACAATATGCTTGTTCATGTCATATTCTAGACTGGTTAGAAAAAATACATAGCCGTCGGATATGTTTATTATTAATTTTTCAGGAATAGGCTAGAAATCAATAAACCAGTCACTTATCTCTATATACATTTTCCCTTGTAAACATAGGAGTATGGACTGTAGAGGGGATCACTTACCACTGCAGTATCCGCGGAACCGGAAATGCTGGAGGAAGCGTTAATCGTTTTCGCTGAAAAAATAATTGCAATATAATTAAATCTTCTACACTAGCCAGGGGCATATGTAATGAATTTAACGATCAATATCATCAGTCAAAGACAGACCTAATCTCATTACCTACATATTAACGTACAACTACTACCTATTGGCAAAATGGTTTCCTCAATCAGCAAGTCCCCTGTTGTTGTATGATTATGTAATTTCTTTCATGACATTCTGTGAAATCGTTAATATTAGTGAGGGTTTTATTCTCGTTCATTTGGTGGATGCACTTCATCCTCGAATCTATATGTCCGTGAGCTGTTTGAATTAGTACATGAAGAAGATTTATTGATTTATTTATTTATCCACAATAATATTTTAAAAGCGACAACATTTTTTCCTTTTGCTTAAATCACTAGAATTCAGCTCCTTGAAACACTAATACACCTAATTGTATTGTAAATGATTGTTAGACGAAGACTATGTCAAGTTTTTGATAAATGAATCCCAAATATCTGACGAACGGCAAAAATTTCAATACATTTTAACTCACTTGGTCATTATTATACGCAGACAAGAACATAAGTACATTTGCGTTAAATAAATACACATAAACATGATCGAGAAGAAATAGGATCGTTATCATATCAGGAAGTTATTTTACCCTAATGAATTGTTTTGTTTTTGCTGGTAAATGAGATGTCTTAATGCATCATGATTATAGCTTACCTGTCTTGTTGCTAGGTGGCGGTTCGAAGTCGGCCCACGGATTAATATCGGCTGACTGGGTTATGTTGTAAATCAGCTCGTGTAAAGCGTTCACGTCCCTGAAATATTCCATAATTGTCTCGTCAGATGCAGCAGGTCAATACATCAACATTCTCATGATATGTGATACAAACATGCTGTTGCCATCGTAACGCACATAGAAACAAGTTATATGATTCGGTTAAAGCAATTCTCGGTGTACGGAAAATAAATGTAAATTTATTTTATCTTTATATGTTAATCATTAGTAAAGTCCTGATTACAGACGGAAATCGTTATCTCGATGTCGTTGGTATTGTGGAGATACTTTGAGCCATCCGAATATTCGAATTCGACTGGGATCTATGAATTACTTCGAATTAAACTACATCTTTGAGTAACACGACTTCACGATAACGAGGTTCGACTGTATATGATATTTGAAACGTATGTAACCCATAGACATTCATTAGTATGATGTTTCATACCGGAAACAGAACATGATTTCATTCTAACTATTGACAAAAGGAAAAAGCAAAGCCGCGTTTGTTGATCTTGGTTCCGTTATACAAATACTTTAACGAACAATGGACGGCGTAATGGTGTATATGATTAGTAAAAAGCAAATGGGTCATTTTAATATTTAATACATGTATGTTTCCCATAGCACGAATCCTTAAATGAATTGGAATGCTGAATGAAATTCTTCTTTACTGTTGTGAGGAACAGTTATTCCTTCATAGAAAGCTCATCAGTATTTCCATTTTCATTGTTATGTTAATGGTATAGTTTAATATATTCCGAATTCCAGAGGGACAATTAACAATCTACCATTATACATCTATGACCATAAAGACAGAAATTTTGTCAGTTGTGGTACCTAGTTGGCTTTCCAGAGATAAACAATGGTTGTTACCGCGTCTTATGATGTTTCTAACTCGTAGGAAGTTTTTAATTTAGTTATTTTGATAGAAATGATAATAATATCTATTTCCTTCGTTCAAAGATTAAATTAGACGTTCATAAGATAACAGGACCTCTCAATACGAATTTATGTCTAGACCAGATGATTCAAAAAAATAATTAAACTGCATCATACATCTGTTTTATCCTTCTAGGACTCATCAGTCTATATGTTTTATCCTTCTAGGACTCGTCAGTGTATATGTTTTATCCTTCTAGGACTCGTCAGTGTATATGCTTTATCCTTCTAGGACTCGTCAGTGTATATATATTATCCTTCTAGGACTCGTCAGTGTATATATATTATCCTTCTAGGACTCGTCAGTGTATATATATTATCCTTCTAGGACTCGTCAGTGTATATGTTTTATCCTTCTAGGACTCGTCAGTGTATATATATTATCCTTCTAGAACTCGTCAGCGTATATATATTATCCTTCTAGAACTCGTCAGTCTATATGTTTTATCCTTCTAGAACTCGTCGGTTTATATGTTTTATCCTTCTAGGACTCATCAGTGTATATACATTATCCTTCTAGGACTCGTCAGTGTATATATAGTATCCTTCTAGGACTCGTCAGTCTATATGTTTTATCCTTCTAGGACTCGTCAGTGTATATATAGTATCCTTCTAGGACTCGTCAGTGTATATGCTTTATCCTTCTAGGACTCGTCAGTCTATATGTTTTATCCTTCTAGGACTCGTCAGTGTATATATAGTATCCTTCTAGGACTCGTCAGTGTATATGCTTTATCCTTCTAGGACTCGTCAGTCTATATGTTTTATCCTTCTAGGACTCGTCAGTGTATATATATTATCCTTCTAGGACTCGTCAGTGTATATGTTTTATCCTTCTAGGACTCGTCAGTGTATATATATTATCCTTCTAGAACTCGTCAGTCTATATGTTTTATCCTTCTAGAACTCAGTGTCATATATGTTTTATCCTTCTAGACTCTCGTATATATAGTCCTTCTATATGTTTTATATGTTTTATCCTTCTAGGACTCGTCAGTGTATATGTTTTATCCTTCTAGAACTCGTCAGTGTATATGTTTTATCCTTCTAGGACTCGTCAGTGTATATATAGTATCCTTCTAGAACTCGTCAGTGTATATATATTATCCTTCTAGAACTCGTCAGTCTATATGTTTTATCCTTCTAGGACTCGTCAGTGTATATATAGTATCCTTCTAAAACTCGTCAGTCTATATGTTTTATCCTTCTAGAACTCGTCAGTCTATATGTTTTATCCTTCTAGGACTCGTCAGTGTATATATATTATCCTTCTAGCTTTATATACCTTCTAGGACTCGTCAGTGTATATGCTTTATCCTTCTAGGACTCGTCAGTGTATATATAGTATCCTTCTAGGACTCGTCAGTCTATATGTTTTATCCTTCTAGGACTCGTCAGTGTATATATATTATCCTTCTAGGACTCGTCAGTGTATATATATTATCCTTCTAGAACTCGTCAGTGTATATATATTATCCTTCTAGGACTCGTCAGTGTATATGCTTTATCCTTCTAGGACTCGTCAGTTTATATGTTTTATCCTTCTAGGACTCGTCAGTGTATATATATTATCCTTCTAGGACTCGTCAGTGTATATGTTTTATCCTTCTAGGACTCGTCAGTGTATATGTTTTATCCTTCTAGGACTCGTCAGTGTATATATAGTATCCTTCTAGGACTCGTCAGTGTATATGTTTTATCCTTCTAGGACTCGTCAGTCTATATGTTTTATCCTTCTAGGACTCGTCAGTGTATATGTTTTATCCTTCTAGGACTCGTCAGTGTATATATATTATCCTTCTAGGACTCGTCAGTGTATATATAGTATCCTTCTAGGACTCGTCAGTCTATATGTTTTATCCTTCTAGGACTCGTCAGTGTATATGTTTTATCCTTCTAGGACTCGTCAGTGTATATATAGTATCCTTCTAGGACTCGTCAGTGTATATATATTATCCTTCTAGGACTCGTCAGTGTATATGTTTTATCCTTCTAGGACTCGTCAGTTTATATGTTTTATCCTTCTAGGACTCGTCAGTGTATATGCTTTATCCTTCTAGGACTCGTCAGTCTATATGTTTTATCCTTCTAGGACTCGTCAGTGTATATGCTTTATCCTTCAAGAACTCGTCTGTGTGCATTTTTATCCATCTAGAACTCCCCAGTGTGCATGCATTAGATTAATAATGTCCTATTTTTCTAAAGACGAAATGCTAATTATTCTGCAGTTTGCCAGTAAATGATAAAGATACGGACCTTCTTCATTTATAATGAAACCCTAAGCTCTGTAAGAATATACATTAACAATGTCTTATTGCTGACTAACTGTTAGACAAAACAAATATTTAAATTTCGAACAACCGATCTTAGCAACTTTCAAATTGTCATTGTTACACTGTTTTCTTGAGAAGTGGAATTAAAGAATGTGGATTTTGAGTTTTTTTTACCTACTTCCTCTCTTAAAATGACTTTCTCTGAGAACGTTTGAATTTTCCTTTCTATGTACTACTATTTTCCATTACACACTGAAGGAACTTCTTCATCCGGTAGTTACGAGAGCCTACTCTCCAAAGAAAGGTGAAAGGCAAAGCATGTGGTTGTGAATTTTAAAATGTGTATTTTATGTAATGAACGTCTGAAGTCAAGATATACTGAATGGTAAGAATGATCTTTTTATATGAGGCTAAATGTTTTGAAGATGCTATCAAAAAATGTCATAAAGACCTTGATAAGTCCCACAATTTCATAATAAGACATATTGCTGATACATTTTCTTGTGGTTTATTGACTATGTCCATCGTTTATATCAACCAGAATTGAAAAGCAAGTACACGATAGACTTCCCAACGTCACTAGATTCACTAAAGCACGTGAGTCCAGATGTAGATGTAACATATGTCGTAAATGAGTTTCACTGAAAGTCGTAAACTAACGACGTTAAATTAGGCTAAAATTTACATATAAGTCTACGTCTGTACTTGAGAACACCGACACTATGCGTGGGACCGTTTAAGTGATGAACAGCTAATAGAAAGATGTTTTCCGATAATGTCTATATTTTCCTTTACTGATGACGTTGACGGAAAGCACCATTCACCTATAGCTAGGAGTCATTCAGTTCTAATATAATTACAGGAAATGTTAACTATAGTCACATCTACTACAGCAGGGGATCTCAACACAGGATGTCGGAAAACAGAATATAAAAAGAAAACGGATGATGAGTCATTTTCACGGAAAGCATAATCTTAGCATACATCACATCACAGAAACGTCACAATTCCAACATAAAGGACTACGTTAAGTCACTTTCTGAAACTGGACGTGTTTGATACTCGTTAGTTTGCCTGACAGTTCTAATTTTAAAAATATTGTTCCCATTGTAAGACGTGGCATTGCTCTCTTGAATTGACTAAGGTTTACTTGGCAGTTATTGTCGATGAAGCAGAAGACGAATACCCTTCAGGAATACCTGGTCTTTATATCCTTGTACTTTTCAGGAGTCTCCGTATAAAATTGTCTTTGTTCATATTTTGCCAGAGCTGTATTGAATTCGAGTTTGATTATGTTGACTTGTTTATTTATCTATTTCATTTATATTTTATTTTTTATGAGGAATTAATTATGAATCCAATTTTCTGACTGGGAATGTTTTCTTCAATATATATATATATTGTTTTTGTTATGTTTTTCACTAGTTAGTGACTAAAAAATTTTAATATCCGGACACTGAATTATGTAGTATTAAGTGAAAATTTAATCTCGCTGTGAGAGAAATATCTATGTATGGAATTATTGGCAGCTATTGTGTTAATTCTATGTGTCATTACATGGATCAGTTATGGCTTACATAATATTTCATCGAACGTCTGACTCTCAAAATAAGTTATAAGGAAATGCATAGATTGATACACAATGATGACAATTCCTTTCCAGAATTAGAAAAGGCTCGGGATTCTACAACTTGTAGTAAAATGGGTCTAGCTTTTCAACACAATTGATACCTACAACGCCATATATATTGCAAGGTTTCCTCTAAGCTGAATGTTCCATTTCTAGATAGTAATATCCGTGCTTCCACGAGACACAGAAAGCAGAAGTTTTTTGGTCGCCACATTGATGTCTTTGTGCAATTAGGCGTGTATGACAGGTGATTATGTTGTTGTCTTGTTCTGCTCGTGCGTTTTCAAGAGTCTCTGTGATAAAACTGCGTCTGTTTATATATAACATCATTCAATTGAATATAAAAGTTGAATTTAGATTTTGTTAAAATGTCGGTATCTTCTAAAGATTATAAAAACTGTTCCCTATTTTGGTGTGCTTTTGGGATCTATCAAGTACAAATCGTTAGTATACGCACTAAAGAAAACCACGTAGTTCATACGCGAAAAATATACGGTCGAATTCATATCATATTTTTATTATCTGCCAAGCAAAATTATGAAAATTAAGATCATACATTAATTTCAGCTGATTGGAATTAATGTAACCAAATTCTTTTCTTCAAGGTTTCCTGTATCTCATGTATAAAACTTTATGCAGACATAGAATTTAACCTTCAAGTAGCGTATACATCGACCGTTTCAATTTTATATAAATGTAGATGAACTCAAGATTATTTATCCTTTACACAACCACAGTAAAGATGCTATTAATTCGATATTTACTCAAATGTATGATGGGTTACTGTTATGCGACAACTTTTTGAAAGATTCCTTATCACTTTTTAGCTCACCTGGCCCAAAGGTCTAAGTGAGGTTATGCCATACAGCGGCGTCAGTCGTCCGTCCGTCCTGCGTCCGTCAACTTTTCATTTAAACAAGTTCCAAAATACCGAAAGGTTATTATATTTTGCGGGAAGGTTCCTTTGATGAAGTTTGCAAAAAGAATGACCTTGACTCATATTCAAGGTCACAGAGGTCAAATGTCTTCAAACCTTTAAACGACATCTTCCAAAATACTGGAAGGTCTAGAATCATTATATATGACTGGAAGGTTCCTTTGATGAAGTCCAAAGTTTGCTAAAAGAAATTACCTTAACCAGTCTTCAAGGTCACAGGGGTCAAATGTGTTTAAACGTTAAAACAATTTCTTCTGAAATATCGAAAAGCCTAGAATCATTATATTTAGCCAGTATGTTCCTTTTATGAAGTCCAAGAAAGTTTGCAAAAAGAAATGACCTTGACCCATAGTCAAGGTCACAGGGGTCAAATGTGTCAAACGTGAAACATATGCACAGATATAGTACTGTTGGTCATAAAGATCCAGGTGAGCGATACAGGCCATCTGGGCCTCTTCTTACTTTGAAGTATCATTTCCAAATCCCCAACCTTGATTTTTGTAAACCTGATATCAAGACTTTGCATGAAATTCACTCATTGTTACATGATTTTACTAACATTGTTGTAAGGTGATCACTCTTTTAGTAAATGGAAAAGAATAATTTAATTTTAAATGGTATGTGTTTGATCAAAACCAACTAAACATTTTACAAACTTATAACATACTCTATAAACATACCTCTTTAGCCCACGTATTTCTTCCTGCTCCAACAAGGTCTTGCTGCAGGTGGATGTATCGAGGTTTTCCACTGTGATTTTCGTATGCTTGCATAGTAGGAACGGTTCAGAAGTCCCCGTATTTATTAATACTTTGGTTCCTGAAATTGGTACAATGTGTTACCAGATAGAATCAAACATTTGGAAAAACAAAATAATATTTGATATTGTGATTAATTCTGTGATAGTGAGAGTAAACCTGAATATCGGAATTATACTGTTATCACATACGTACCATTGTGTAGAGGAAAAGCCTTGATCAGTGCTAGAGACTTTATCAGTTGGGTCTCCAGCAATTCTAGACAGGCGGAAAATATTTTATACAGGCGTTCTAGTTCTTGAGTGTCATCTGGACTTAGGGTTGTGCTGGAAACCGAACGAATATAAGACTAATTATGTCATCAATTTAAATTCCATGTCATAGCAGTGGTCTTTGATAGCGAAACGATAACGTATGTCAGCAATTACGCAATGATATATTGTAGAATCTGTAACTTATATCCATTCCGTAATATAAAACTTAAAGTGAAACGAACTGGAAACAGACACATTGATTTGAAATGACATTTAGCAGAGTAAAGAAAAACAATCACAAAGAGGAATCATTTTTTAAACAATATAAGAATTTTTTTCACTGCAGAATAGTGCCATTTGCTGACTCATGTTCAGCCGTTGCTTTTGTTCTTGTTCGAATGCACTATGTCAAAGTTTGATCACCAAAATAAACACATTTATACATGTAGTGTGACATGTGAATTTGATAACAACAGGTCACGACAAGTGCTGCGTAGAAAGATTCGAATAAACGAACACACAAGATGAAGATAATCTTTACACTTAGAAGTGTCTTGTGGAAAGTCGTATGCCTTTAAAAGTTTCATAGGCGATCTTTCACGTTTTAAGAATTAAGAAAACCTTAATGTTGACCACTGGAAATTAAAAAAATATTGTCCAGTGCGTTATTTCACTTTCAAATATATTTTGTAGTTTAAGATGTTGAGATACTGATATAAATACAAATAAGAGCGAAAACAAAAATATTTTACTCTTTGGTCAGGTAACAAAAACAACGCAAGTATGTAATAAGTATTGTTTAATAATCAGGCATATTTATCTGTTTCCTGTCTAATTAGACAAGCGCACCTGTTATTGAGAGATTTTTAAAAGTAATTTTGGAAATGGACTTTAATTGACTTTTAGATTAAATAGTATGTTGCCATCAGTATACTTCCTGCATTAGTACGTAGGAGAGGCAGAAAGGTAAAGAACCGCAATTAAAACCTAATTAAAAACTAGGTTCCGTTACGTGTCGGTACTGTTGCTCTGCAAGCTCTAGAATTAGCACCAAGTGGGCGACACGCTGCAACACTTGTCAGTTTCACTAACAGCGAAACATATGTATATATCTGTTTCAATCACCATCAGCAATTTCAGTGAAATGCTTTTTCCCAGACCTGTAAATTAACTTTTCTCTTTCGACAATTGATTGGAATGCCTTACTCAGTTTGCCAAACGAATCAAGAAATGAAATTAAGACTGAAAACTGAAATTATCTGATGATAAAATCTGCACTTGAAAATACCTTCAGTACATGTAACATTGTTTGCATGACATTAGTGATCCAGACATCGTTCCTGTTTAAGCTCGTTACCTCAACTGATCGATTTAAAACTACATCATACTACATAATAAACAATAGGGCTTCACAATACAACAATCATAATAATATCTCATTGAAATAAGTTAACAAGTGCAAACGACATTGAAGATGATGGAAAGTCTGCAATGTTTACCATAAAAGTTTTACCATTTTGACGTCGTCAATTAAAATAGAAATTAATCAGAGTTAGTTAAAATTAAACACAGTTATGAGTGAAACTGAAATAGCTGTCATTAGACTGAAGAAAACGAAATACTGTATTCCACAATATATTCGCCCTTGTACACGAATTCGTCCCATGTTACTTAGGTCTCTGATGTTTATATATTTACCTACGTCTTAAATTCATCCTCCTAATCAATGGGCAGCATTAACAGGGGCGAACAAATATGTCCGTATTCAGAATTTATGTGATGACAATGGGACATGAATCATTTTGGTAAAAAGACAATACTATTCATTTATATCAATATACGGCAATATCCATGACAGGAACCAGCAGCTTGATGCCGTCTGTCAATAGCTTTGATTTTTCCTAATAAGAGGCCAAAACATAATTTTATTGGAAGGACAGGTTCCTGTTACTTGTCTTTATCATATCGTTTTCTTGTTGCCTTGATTTGCATTATATTCTTATTTGACACATTACAGTAACAACTTTACACAATATGTTTCAAACAAACTTACTTGTTTAATAATGGAACTAGTTTGAGTTTGTTGAGTTGCGCCAATTCTAGTCCACGCAATCGTATGCGCCTGAGTTCGTCTCGCAGGGCTTCGGAGTCTTGTGTACTTCCAATATAAACATTTAGCGTGCAGTAAACTGCTGTCTCCTGATTGAGTTCTGCAACAATCTGAAAATTTAAAAAAAAATCCAAAAACGTATATTGATTCATATGAATTATTCATGATAAGGAATACACAACACCAAATTATTCAATAATGTGCTGTCAAAGCTAATTTAGCTCGGGGCCCGGTTCAAATTATTGTCCCTTAGAAATGCAAATTCGACCTTATTTTGGATTGAAGGGCAAATATTTGTTCGTTTGATGAATGTATCGCCCCGTAAAGAGCCAAGTCCATTTAGAGGCGACGTTTCATGTAGTATCTGGTGGCTACCTCACTGAACAAGATCAGGAAGGTCCGTCACAAGCCATCCAGAGCAATTAAGGGCAAAGGGCCTTGCAAGAGGACACAATCAAGTCAGCATAGACTGGTCCTATTCTAACTGCAGCAGAAGTAAAACTGCTTCGGGTTGGTATTTTAAAACCAGGCACGTTGGGTTTTTGTTAAATCAATGGTATACAGGCTGCGTTGTCGCGGTAAAATAAGATTTTTGAAAGCTATCGATTAAAATAACAAGAATATGGAGTTTTATTTGTAAAAAATGCGAAACGTTTAATCAATAATAACAGTACATTTTGGCAGTCACGCTTGAATGATTTTTACACCTAATTAACGATAATAGCATACAGTAGTGTTGCTATGGGAGATAATACTTCAAACTGTACCCTTATGTAACTCCAATAGCTGACACAAATTTCATTGCAACGTCGCGCCTGTATCTGTACATACCGGCAATTTATATATGACACTTCATATTCATGACAAAAATCCCATTTGTAACTCGGAATAGCCACAATATCTTTGCATCTATCCATTGTCACCTTCGCCTATAAATTGACATTTCTTTCCTCAGCCGCCTCCTAGGTTTTAATACTTAAGCCCTATATAACGTCCTAATGTGTCTTTTGTAAAATTCGTTATCTTTGATTTTCTTCAGTTGCCTCCTAGGTTTCAAAATGTAGATTTTTTTTATCACCAATGAATCTAAGAAGCAGGAACGAGCTTCACAACGCTGTTTGATTCATTGTTTGGGTCAACCCCTAACTCGGAACACTCTCTGGATGATGGATCCTGTGCTCCAACGGTTGGTTTCTTCGTCCGTACCCAACTAGAGGCGTGTTCAGCTGCTTGGGCGAGCATCTGTACTGCTCCTTCCCTCTTCATCCCCATAACGCCTTGTGCGTTGAACACCACACTGATTGTGCAAGGAAACCCCTGCAACCAACTTCCACAAGGAAGTTCTCTGACTGCCACCCGTGCTCCCAGCACTCTGTCAACAGGTCCTCTTACTTGGCAGGTTTCCTCTGATTGGTTTGTCAACATCTCCCCTCCCAGGGTAAAGTCAGCTCTAACAGTATCAACTTTTTCCTCTCCTTAGTCCACAGTACAATGTCTGGTCTAAGACTTTTCTGGGCAATATCAGGGAAAGACGATCTACTATTAAGACTTTTAAGATCAGTTGACTCCACCCAACCAACTCTCTTCTCTCATGTACTGCTGCGTCAGCTCTCGCAGACCCTTCCTAATTGCCTGTATCTCTTTTCTTTCTCCTTTCTTTTGTCCTCGTTACCTTTCATGTTTTCGTGTGCTTTTATCGATGGGACTTTTAACTCTTTTAACTATATCAGAGTGATTAAAAAATTATTGGCACTTTTTAGAAATCCACAAGATTACGATTATGCTAACGAACTAACATTTAAAGCAAGCAAACGGAGACTTTAAGGCTCTGATTAAAATATCATCAATAGCGAATGGAGAGATGGAGTAGCCCTGCTGTTCACATCATCTAATCCGCGTAGATTATATCAAAGGATTTGGTTCCCTTCCCGGACGTGTTGTCTACTTGACAATGTTTGTAACATCATTGGAACATTAGGTAACAATAATCAATATCGATTACCCTGAAGAGACTGATCATATAAACCACGAAATGGAACACAGCTTCAATAACCGTCGAGATACGGAATACACCGAATCAATGCTTGATCCTTACGGCGGCAGCTTCATTTAAGTACGGCCCTCCGGTGTATGCAATGTGAGTGTATGTGCTGGGTGTATATGCTGGGTGTATGTGCTGGGTGTATGTGTTGTGAGTGTATGTGCTGGGTGTATGTGCTGAGTGTATGTGCTGGGTGTATGTGCTGGGTGTATGTGCAGAGTGTATGTGCTGTGTGTATGTGTTGTGAGTGTATGTGCTGAGAGTATGTGCTGAGTGTATGTGCTGAGAGTATGTGCTGAGTGTATGTGTTGAGAGTATGTGCTATGTGTATGTGTTGGTGTTGAGTATATGTGCTGAGTGTATGTGCTGTGTGTATGTGTTGAGTGTATGTGCTGGGTGTATGTGCTGAGTGTGTGTGCTGAGTGTATGTGCTGAGTGTATGTGTTGAGTGTATGTGTTGAGTGTATGTGCTGGGTGTATGTGCTGAGTGTGTGTGCTGAGTGTGTGTGCTGAGTGTATGTGCTGAGTGTATGTGCTAGGTGTATGTGCTAGGTGTATGTGCTGAGTGTATGTGTTGTGAGTGTATGTGCTGGGTGTATGTGTTATGAGTGCATGTGTTAAGTGTATGTGCTGAGTGTATGTGCTGAGAGTATGTGCTGGGTGTATGTGCTGAGTGTATGTGCTGAGTATATGTGCTGGGTGTATGTGCTGAGTGTATGTGCTGGTTGTATTACTTGGTGTATGTGTCGAGGGTATGTGCTAAGTGTATGTGTTGGTGTTGAGTATATGTGCTGGGTGTATGTGCTGGGTGTATCTGCTGAGGTATGTGCTGAGTGTATGTGCTGGGTGTATGTGCTTGGTGTATGTGCTGAGTGTATGTGCTTGGTGTATGTGCTTGGTGTATGTGCTTGGTGTATGTGCTTGGTGTATGTGCTGAGTGTATGTGCTGGGTGTATGTGCTTGGTGTATGTGTTGTGAGTGTATGTGCTGAGTGTATGTGCTGAGTGTATGCGCTGGGTGTATGTGCTGAGTGTATGTGCTGAGTGTATGTGCTGAAAAGTGAAAGGCATGTATGTTTGGTATGAAATGAAACACCTGTTTGTGGAATCAGTCAACGAAAAGAACATAAGCAATATTTTTCAAGGAAACCGACAATGGTATTATTCTTTTCATGAAAGAGTAGTAAATTATCAATTCATCAGTCATATCTAAAGATTGTTTTTATTTTCTAGCTGCCTCGGAGTATAATTATTTTTTAAGCTTCGTATAGATTATACGGAACGCCAGTGTAAATATTGACAAATAGAACAGAATAAAAGCGTTAAAATAGGGGGAAAATGGAGATATTTGTCGACAATGTTTCACGGTTTACTGTATACAAAGGAGTTCATCGAGCTTAAGTACCAACAGAATACAGAAACAATTATTTTATTTTAATGGGTTCATCAACGTGATACGAATCTAAGACCAGTGTAGTAAATAAGTACATTTTGTATGTGAAGTTCGTTTTGTATGTGTCAGTTTGGCATGTGAATGTGGGCACGGGATTTCATACAAAACATATTTACATTTACTTATGCTGTATTTGAATATAAACATAGTTAATTCTATACCGCTTTGTCTGTACCTGTGATGAATCAATGCTACCTGTCAGAGCAAATCCAAGAAACCCTTAGGTTCACATGCACACAAATCGATATGTTACAGATATTAGTTACACCAAATGTCCAATGTATAGTCACTAAATCTGTATATCTATAATACAGATCTCTGTTTTTAACTCAGAATTCAAACAAGTATTTTCTTTAATACTAATCAATCAACATTTCCCACTTTTTACCAACATTATCAGTGTAGGTTTGTAATAAAAACTGTAAACCGAAATACGCACTTGTGTTTGAAATTGTGAAGGATCATACTTAACCTGTCGCTGAGAACTGAGTATTTCCCTGACATCAAACAACATTAATCAAAATCCTTGAGAGGAAATAAGTCTTCGTATTTCCATTTTCATCAATGCTATGTCGTGGTTTTCTTACAATTTGTTTCCTATTCTTACAAAGAAGGAATATTTAGTTTCATATTTCGATAAAGCTAATTTCACCACGGCGGTGTTTTTCATAATCCTACATCTTTCGAAACACAGTGATGTAAGTTGATTTGTCAGCTTTCGACATTTTTTTCTTTCTTTCTTTTTATGAAAATCAGGATTTCAGAAATATCACAAGTCAAAATATTTGCCCGTTTTCTTCATACAATCGAATTATCTTTTAACAAATCTGAATTTCGATCTCTCGATATAAAAGACATCTTATATTCACGTGTAACATTATTTCACGAACGAAATTTTCACGACCAATTTAATGTACCGCGAAATAGTGAAAATATCTTCCTCGTAAAAACAACCGGCTATTCAGTAAGTCTATCAATAACAAATGAAAAAAAAATATATCTTCATCAAAACATATCTTTATTTCCGAAATTAGCTTCTCCTGCAGGGAACACACTATGTATGAAAATACGTATTAAAATCTTCCAATAAATAGAATCCAAGAAAGAATTTTGGTACCAAGAGTATACGAACATTCGGGAAAAAATAAGGATAAAAATCAATAAACAGTGTGTTACATAACTACCAGGATTTCTGGGGTGTCATTGTATTAGTTTCTTGACGTTCCAGAATATGCACATCTTTAACTGATTAACAGCTGGTTACCACCTTTATTACGGAGTCGTGTAATATACCCGGGAGAGCTTATCGTTGGCCAGTCAGAAATAGATTATGATGTCATTATATAGACAATTACATTACGTCATGAATTGAAAATGGAACAAGGAAATGATTGCGTTGCCTATATTTGATTTTGTAATCCACACGTTCGTAATTCATTACATTTGTTTTCATTTCGTATGATTTTTATTTTAAAAAATATCCCGAATCGTTGGTTTTTTCCGTGTGTTTTCTTTTCAAGCAAAGGATTGCATAAAAAACTTGCTACACTAAATATCCTATGTATTTTATAAAGATAATACCATGAATTAACGTATCGTCTGTCGATTTCTTGGTATAGTACAAGTTTGTAAAACTTGATGTACTGTATTGTAAGCCTGTCTCTGTATACTGTATTGTAAGTCTGTCTCTGTATACTGTATTGTAAGCCTGTCTCTGTATACTGTATTGTAAGTCTGTCTCTGTATACTGTATTGTAAGTCTGTCTCTGTATACTGTATTGTAAGCCTGTCTCAGTATACTGTATTGTAAGCCTGTCTCTGTATACTGTATTGTAAGTCTGTCTCTGTATACTGTATTGTAAGCCTGTCTCAGTATACTGTATTGTAAGCCTGTCTCTGTATACTGTATTGTAAGTCTGTCTCTGTATACTGTATTGTAAGCCTGTCTCTGTATACTGTATTGTAAGTCTGTCTCTGTATACTGTATTGTAAGCCTGTCTCAGTATACTGTATTGTAAGCCTGTCTCTGTATACTGTATTGTAAGTCTGTCTCTGTAAACTGTATTGTAAACCTGTCTCAGTATACTGTATTGTAAGTCTGTCTCTGTATACTGTATTGTAAGCCTGTCTCTGTATCCTGTATTGTAAACCGGTATCTGTATACTGTATTGTAAACCGGTAACTGTATACTGTATTGTAAGTCTGTCTCTGTATACTGTATTGTAAGCCTGTCTCTGTATACTGTATTGTAAGCCTGTCTCTGTATACTGTATTATAAACCTGTCTCTGTATACTTTATTGTAAACCTCTCTCTGTATACTGTTTTGTGTACAGGAAATCGATTTGAAGGATGTTAGATAAAGTCGTATTACAAAAGCAAATTGTACTCTGATATAGTACCCAGTCATTAGTATAGTATCGCACTGCAGAAGTCGTTCCCTAGTATAGTATCACACTGCGTGTCCTTGTGTAGTATCGCACTGCAGAAGTCGTTCCCTAGTATAGTATCACATTGCGTGTCCTTGTGTAGTATCGCACTGCAGAAGTCGTGCCTTGGTATACTATTGTACTACTGAAGCCGTTCCCTCGTATAGTATCGCGCCTCAGAATTCGTTCCCTAGTATAGTATAGTACTACTGAATTCGTTCCCTAGTATATTATAGTACTACTGAATTCGTTTCCTGGTATTGTATTGCACTGAAGAAGCCGTGCCCTAGTATATTATAGTACTACTGAAGTCGTGACCTCGTATAGTATAGTACTACTGAATTCGTTCCCTAGTATATTATAGTACTACTGAATTCGTTCCCTAGTATAGTATAGTACTACTACATTCGTTCCCTAGTATAGTATCGCACTGACGAAGCCGTATCCAGGTATAATATCGTATTATATTCAGGGTGTCTTACCTTGGCACATTCTTGAATTATCCCAGGATCCAGTTTCCCTGGCCCAAGATCACGACAGTTTGTGAACGACCTTAGCTGAACTCGGCTTATCTCATTTTCACCGTGAATCTGGGAACTACATGATACCGACATGTTTTAGCACAGCCCTCATGATTATGAAGGCATCATCATTAATCAGGAGAAAGGTGCCACAGTTTCTCGTAAGCTTCCAAGACCAACCATCAGCTCTACTGGACGAGCACTCAGTTGATGTATTGATCAACAACACAATTACCTTGTACTTGGGATAATGTTTTCAACTGATAATCTGGAGACGCTTTATCACTTGCTCAAGGCATCCCCATTTTCATTGAAGATGCATCACTAGACTGTCTCAGCTGCAAGTGATTGTTCCACTACCTCCAAGCTAAGTATATCGCCTTCCTGTTAAACAATAAACGATACTTGTAGTGGTCTGTGGCTGTTCGCCTTACCAATAGGGTAATCGATATACACTGCTCTAGAAGTCTACAACTTACATAGATTTATTTCAAACTCCATTCTAATAACTCTGATGTATGATATGTTAGGAATCATTTAAATTCTAGGGTTGATAGGTAACCAGGACTCTGTGATACAAATAACGGCAATCACAGTTCAACTAGTAACAGGATGTTTCAGAATGGAGGACAAATACAAAATTATTAACCAAAGGTTTCAATGTACGAATTCTTTCCAAATTTCCAGACGCAGGCATAGCTAACCTTGTCGAGTGTTCCACTCCTTGACATTAAAAAAAATATATACCGCATTTAAGTTAAAACATATAAAGTTTATATATTTAAAGGCAAATTCGATGACGGACGTTTTGTTTTTATTTTTATTTTTTTTTTCTTGCTAAACAAACGAAAATATTTTTGCTTCATAAACGCAGCATTCCGTGAAATATTATCCAAAAGACACGCAAGTGAAGAACTCATTTTAATGTTCTCTCTGAAATTAGATAAATGACATAAATGTTGATATCGGTTGATTTCAAAAGAATGTCCAATATATATTCATACAAGTTCCATGAAATATTTTATATGAAACTTTCAAAATTAGATACTAGAAGACTCATTGAATGCTGATGTCCTAACCAACCTTATGATCAAAATGAGAAAAAACATGAAAAGCTTAGAATATCATGACACCATGGAAATATGTTTAATCTTAAAAACGTTGAAATGATTTTTGGTAGATAAACGGTAACACAACACTATCTAGATGGTAAATGTGTCATTTAAATTTGCATCAATGTAAACAGAACGATTACTGTCAGAAAACCTGATAATGTACAAAAACAATGCTAATTTCCAGTGTACATCCAAGCACTGAAGATGTCCCATTCCTCAAAGGGGGTATATAAATACAGTATTTATCTTGTTGTATTATTACTGGGTATTGTATCGTATAAATTAATCTTCACTTTTATTGAATTATCTTTGAGTTACTCCCAGTATAATTAATATGGTTTAAGTGTATAAATTCCTTCTAAATTATCTTCAACGACTCTTCAGAAATACCAAGGGTCATGAGTTGTAGTAAATCTCTATAATTCCATCGGTTCGGTACATTTAAGATGAAATAATACACATGCAGTACACGTGTGTATTATTGATTTAATCGACCATCATTCGATCCTAACATTTGATTAATTAATGCTGCATGTTGAAAATCAGTATAATCTGCAGTATTTCAAAATTGCATATGAAAATATCTTTATATGTCTATTATAAAAAAATCACGAAAAATACCAACATGGCAATATGATCATAGAAACTCGAATTCCATAATAATAGGGCAAAATATGAACAAGAAGAAAGATTTATACGCAGACTCTTGAAAAAGTATAAGGAGAATAAGACAAAGCGTTCCGGAAGAGTTAGCGTTGTAGATTTAGAGGTAAGTGTTTATTTAATAAGACCGATAGCAATCTGGTCAACTTCATTTGCAAATGTAACAGACAATTTTAAGTATTAAAGTTTCGATGTAAAGTAAACATGCCTTCTCAAAGAAATGGAATTCATTTTCGTATCGAGAAAAATATAAATGTACGTAAATTATCCAGAACTGACATTTACGAAATTTATTTTGGGCCAATTCTGGTTTTCCGCAACAATAACTGACGAGTTCTGTAGAAGGATGAAACGGCTTTAATCTGCAGTGTAATTCAATGGTCGACCATACTTTGTGTAATCCCAAATTTGTATCGAAAGGCAATTTTGGTGTATTTTGTACAATACCTTAACAATGGTTTAGCTACCTAATGCTATACTCACAAAACAATGAGAACGTGTTTAATTTGATGCTATCGAATTTTAGCGCATGATCATGATCAATTTTGGCTTATTAGAACAAGGAACAATTCGCGCATTAACAATGGTTGCCATATAAATAGCAAGCAGAACCTGCAATTGCCTCAGTTATATTCAGCGCAATATATTCAGCTTGAACTTGAAATGAAAGTAACGCTGATGTAGACACTTACATAGATCAGGCGACGGATTGTTTCCTTTTTTCTCCTTTTTTATTACACTTATATGTTTCATTGTTTTTGACTGTATTTGGAAATATATGTATTTAGCGCGTATTGTTTTTGATATGAGAACTGTGTGATTCGTTTTTTTTTTTTTTTTTTTGTCGCGAAATGTACATCTGTTTATAGATGTAAATAATTGTAAATACAGTAACTGCATTTATACTTGTATTTTATGAATAAATCTTGTGAACAAAGAGAAATTGCTTTGGGTGTCGTAAAATCGTACATTTTAAATTCGAATTTCAAATTTCCAGGCTAATTTTCCAAAAAATTATGCTTTTTCGAGGGCACTTGAATTCGTGGGGAAAAGTTAAGAACTCGTTTAATACATTTATCATTAATTTATTCTTGGATACATTAATTCTGTATGAGCAACATCCATGAAATCAAAACATAGTAGATAAATGTATAAATTCATGTATATAGGTGTACAACTGAGCAGTCATCGTTTCTTACCGAAGTTCACGCCGCCAAAAGCAGTATATACATTTTAATATATATTAATGTTCTCTGAGGTCACTGTAGATATCACAACGGTCATTTTTATATGTATATATATACGGTCGTGACTGTAGATTGAATGTTCTCTGAGGTCGTGACTGTAGATTCAATGTTCTCTGAGGTCGTGACTGTAGATAGAATGTTCTCTGAGGTCGTGACTGTAGATAGAATGTTCTCTGAGGTCGTGACTGTAGATTGAATGTTCTCTGAGGTCGTGACTGAAGATTGAATGTTCTCTGAGGTCTGAGGTCGGGACTGTAGATTGAATGTTCTCTGAGGTCGTGACTGTAGATTGAATGTTCTCTGAGGTCGTGACTGTAGATTGAATGTTCTCTGAGGTCGTGACTGTAGATTGGATGTTCTCTGATGTCGTGACTGTAGATAGAATGTTCTCTGAGGTCGTGACTGTAGATTGAATGTTCTCTGAGGTCATGACTGTAGATTGAATGTTCTCTGAGGTCGTGACTGTAGATTGGATGTTCTCTGAGGTCGTGACTGTAGATTGAAAGTCTCTGAGGTCGTGACTGTAGATTGAATGTTCTCTGAGGTCGTGACTGTAGATTGAATGTTCTCTGAGGTCGTGACTGTAGATTGAATGTTCTCTGAGGTCGTGACTGTAGATTGAATGTTCTCTGAGGTCGTGACTGTAGATTGAATGTTCTCTGAGGTCGTGACTGTAGATTGAATGTTCTCTGAGGTCGTGACTGTAGATTGAATGTTCTCTGAGGTCGTGACTGTAGATTGAATGTTCTCTGAGGTCGTGACTGTAGATTGAATGTTCTCTGAGGTCGTGACTGTAGATGTAGAATGTTCTCTGAGGTCGTGACTGTAGATTGAATGTTCTCTGAGGTCGTGACTGTAGATTGAATGTTCTCTGAGGTCGTGACTGTAGATTGAATGTTCTCTGAGGTCGTGACTGTAGATTGAATGTTCTCTGAGGTCGTGACTGTAGATAGAATGTTCTCTGAGGTCGTGACTGTAGATTCGATGTTCTCTGAGGTCGTGACTGTAGATTGAAAGTCTCTGAGGTCGTGACTGTAGATAGAATGTTCTCTGAGGTCGTGACTGTAGATTGAATGTTCTCTGAGGTCGTGACTGTAGATAGAATGTTCTCTGAGGTCGTGACTGTAGATTCAATGTTCTCTGAGGTCGTGACTGTAGATTGAATGTTCTCTGAGGTCGTGACTGTAGATTGAATGTTCTCTGTCGTGACTGTAGATTGAATGTTCTCTGAGGTCGTGACTGTAGATAATGTTCTCTGAATGTTCTCTGAGGTCGTGACTGTAGATTGAATGTTCTCTGAGGTCGTGACTGTAGATTGAATGTTCTCTGAGGTCGTGACTGTAGATTGTTCTCTGAATGTTCTCTGAGGTCGTGACTGTAGATTGAATGTTCTCTGAGGTCGTGACTGTAGATTGAATGTTCTCTGAGGTCGTGACTGTAGATAGAATGTTCTCTGAGGTCGTGACTGTAGATACAATGTTCTCTGAGGTCGTGACTGTAGATACAATGTTCTCTGAGGTCGTGACTAGATAGAATGTTCTCTGAGGTCGTGACTGTAGATACAATGTTCTCTGAGGTCGTGACTGTAGATTGAATGTTCTCTGAGGTCGTGACTGTAGATTGAATGTTCTCTGAGGTCGTGACTGTAGATTGAATGTTCTCTGAGGTCGTGACTGTAGATTGAATGTTCTCTGAGGTCGTGACTGTAGATTGAATGTTCTCTGAGGTCGTGACTGTAGATTGAATGTTCTCTGAGGTCGTGACTGTAGATTGAATGTTCTCTGAGGTCGTGACTGTAGATAGAATGTTCTCTGAGGTCGTGACTGTAGATATAATGTTCTCTGAGGTCGTGACTGTAGATTGAATGTTCTCTGAGGTCGTGACTGTAGATTGAATGTTCTCTGAGGTCGTGACTGTAGATTGAATGTTCTCTGAGGTCGTGACTGTAGATTGAATGTTCTCTGAGGTCGTGACTGTAGATTGAATGTTCTCTGAGGTCGGGACTGTAGATATAGTGTTCTCTGAGGTCGGGACTGTATATTGAATGTTCTCTGAGGTCGTGACTGTA